CATTTGGATTACAATGGTATTCAACCAATTCTTAACTGAAAACTAACCTATATTGTTAATAATTGTATTCTTAAGAGCACTTAATGATTTATGTTCAGCAAAAAATGACAAGTTTAGTTAGGGAAAAATATTTTTCATTATCAAACAAAAAAGTGCAACAAATAAAGTGCTTAAAGTGCTTAAACAGTAGCCTTTCAAAGCAAAACAATGTATACACATAATATAAATACACATAAATAAAACAAAAATGAGGTATTAAGAAGGAGATCAGAAGCTGGTTAGTAATTTATTTATCAAGCATTGTTTATTAAGGTTGCTCACAGTGAGCAATTCTATGATGTTTTGAGCGTGCAGTATACCAAGAGGCTTGTTATGACAGCTTACATTCACCACTCAAAATCACACGCACAAACACAACTAATAATTTCTTTCCAGATTTAAAGTTTAAGAGAGTGAGTACTTAACTGAACCACATGTCATTAACGTCCCTTAGTCTTTGCTCCTCCTGAGTGTCTGTTTGAAAACCTTCTTCTGTTGCTGACTTCGGGACTCTTTGGGGTAAATAGGATGTCTATGCAGGGAATAGGTTTACAGATGCGCTCCTTAGCGCCATCTATCGTCGGGGAGTTTGAAAAGGAACGAACGCGCTTCGGCCCAAAATCAGAATTTTTTTTTTTGCCGTGAGAAATTGGTTGTGTGGCGTGAGTGCGTGTGAAAACATGCAAAAGCGTGTGTCACACGGCGAAACCGTGAGAGTTGGTAGCTCTGATTTAATAGTAATCATCACGCGGTTCACCAACCAAGGCCGCCCTCTTGTGGCGGTTTGTTTTAGGAGCACTTGATTCGCGTTCCACGCTTTAAAAAAAAGTCGAATATCTTTCACGTTTTGTGGTTTCGCATCAAGCTTGGCGGAAACAACATTTACTGTAGTACATTCCCTTTTCAAGGTAGTTTTTTATATTTATTTTTTGTTATTTAACCTTCGGGCAGTAAGAAGACTGCATTTACAGTGAAGGAAAACGTATTATTATTAACGTATATAAAATGATGAGGATTAAAATGCGGACATCCAAGGCGCTCCATTAGACTTCTTTGTGTGAAGGCCTATAAGATTTAGATCGTTTCAGTTAATTTCAGAAAGTACTGGTTCTTCCTGCATTTGACCTGACCTTTTGACCCGATGAAGGGCCATCGTGGTCTGCAGCACGAAAAACAGCCTTAGACAGTGTATGGAAGTATAGACAAATACACAATTTGGTAAATGATGCAAATCAAGCTTTATTTATTCATATATATATATATATATATATATATATATATATATATATAATATTTTTTTATTTTAAAAATTATATTATTTTATTTATTCTTCTGTTCCATTGACTTTTCACCAACTCAAATAGCTTAATAGAAAAAGTATACAATACAAGAAAATATACAGTAAGACAGCAAGAAAACTAAATAAAGGGGTGGATATAAGTGAGACGTGTTGGTGTGTTTTTGTGTGTGTACACATAAACCATGTGCATCCCTATATACCGACACAAAAACATAAATACACATTTTAAACGCAGAAGCAACTCAATATTCTTTACAAAAGGCATCAGAATGACTTTTAGAAACTGTCGGCGATGCGATAGCAGAAAAAAAAACTTCACAATCATATGGAAAGTTCACCTGTTGAAAAGCAGGAACAACGTGAATGCGTCTTATCGGAAGAACAACAACGCAACGCGTGTTGCGCAACCGGCGGCTCGGGTCCATTCTCCCGGTCACATCCCTCCGTGGGCAACTTTCACCGTTTCACCACAGCGCGGATTGCACGGGGCGCGATGCGTGTTTCCTGCGGGGGGGGGGGGCACACCTCTCCTGCGGCTCCGGATTGGTCCCCCCCCCAAAAAAATAAATAAACCAACCCAGTTCCGCGTTGCAGAGCCTTTAAACTCCTGCAGCGTTTCCTCCAGCGTGCACTCCATCTCTCTCTCTCTCTCCGGACGCCACCATGTCCGACCAGGCCGCGTTCGACACCAACGTGGTCACCATGACCCGGTTCGTGATGGAGGAGGGCCGCAAGGCGAAGGGCACCGGGGAGCTGACGACGCTGCTCAACTCGCTGTGCACGGCGGTGAAGGCCATCTCCAGCGCCGTGCGCAAAGCCGGGATCGCTCACCTGTGAGTGATCGATCGACCCCCCCCCCGTCGCCAGGTGGTCGACGTGTCGGGTTTTTTTTTTTTTAAACTTGTTATGAAGTTAAAGAAGTCTCGCTGTCTCGGACGTCCACGCAGCCGAGCAGGAGATTCCGGTTCTCCGAGCAGCCAATCAGAGAGCAGCACGCCCACTTTTCAATGATTTACGCTTTTATTTATTTCCTCAAAGCTAATGTCGTTTATGTGCAGCTTTAAGGAATCGATGTGTTTCCTTGTGGCTTTTTGTTTTTCTCGCTCACAGTTTTTGTGTCATTTTGTGTGTATTATTATTATTATTATTATTATTATTATATGTGCTGTGTTGGTCCATCTTCTACAAAAATAGACTTATTCCCGAGATATTTAAATCATTTCTCTTGGATTCAATCAATCAAACCGTTTAGAAATGCAGCGTCTTGCATCACTCGCTGTTTGTTTCCTTCCTCTTAGCAGGAGACTGGATTTGATTGAGCAGCAACGGTAAACGACGCCGGTCGGGTTTTTGTGTTTTTTTTTTTTTTTAAGCACTTTTTCACGTCTCCCCAGTTACGGCATCGCCGGCGGCACCAACGTGACGGGCGACCAGGTGAAGAAGCTGGACATTCTGTCCAACGACCTGATCATCAACATGATCAAGTCCTCCTTCACGTCCTGCATGCTGGTGTCCGAGGAGAACGAGAAGGCCATCATCATAGAGCCGGAGACGAGGGTGAGGAGGAGGAGGAGGAGGAGGTTGAGGAAATCATCTGAACATAATAATAAAAACAGGATGCACCAGTCTGCCGTGGATCCTTTCCTCATGGGATCTGATCTCGCGTAGACGCTTTCAGAAAGAACTAAAACAATATGACCGTCGAAAGCGCTTCTTGCACGAGGTAAAAGGTTGCCGGTGTGATTTCAGGTGTCTGTTTGTTAAAAAGCGTTTGGTTTGTCTCTTGCTCGACCACGTGGACGGGGCGGATCGCGGCGCACGCACATTCCTGCCAGCGGGCCTCGCGCCGCTCCACAGACCCGGTGCGGGGCGACCGCAGGGCTCCAAAAAAAAAAACGATGATTCCAGCGCTTTCAGCTGTGAACTTCTCTTCCAGGGGAAGTACATCGTGTGCTTCGACCCTCTGGACGGCTCCTCCAACATCGACTGCCTCGTCTCCATCGGGACCATCTTCGCCATCTACAAAAAGGTAACACCGCTCCGTCTTTGGCAGCAAAGTGAGTCCGTCGCTATGAATGAATAATAAGAAATGAATCCCCCCCCCATCAGTACACGGACGATGAGCCGTGTGAGAAGGACGCGCTGCAGCCCGGCAGGACCCTGGTGGCGGCCGGCTACGCCCTCTACGGCAGCGCCACCATGATGGTGATCTCCACCGGCCAGGGGGTCAACGGCTTCATGCTCGACCCGGTCGGTGTTGTTTTCGATGGCGTTTCGTCGCCCCCCTCAGTCCTTTGGTATAATCAACCTCTTTCTTTCGTTTTTTTGGGCTCGTCAGGCGATCGGCGAGTTCATCCTGGTCGACCGGGACGTGAAGATCAAGACGCGAGGGAAGATCTACAGCTTGAACGAGGGCTACGCCATGCACTTTGACCCGGCCGTCACCGAGTACCTGCAGAAGAAGAAGTTCCCTCAGGTAACAACCGACGCGCGTTGGATTAAACGCCTCAAAACGTTGAGTAGTTGTTGTTTCTTTAAGTCGCCCTTTAACGCCACGCTTGAAATGGCCGCAGGACGGCACGGAGCCGTACGGCGCCCGCTACATCGGCTCCATGGTGGCAGACGTCCACCGGACGCTGATGTACGGAGGCATCTTCTTGTACCCGGGAAACGTGAAGAGCCCCCAAGGAAAGGTAGACGAAGACCATTTTTATTGCCATAAAGAAGCAACACGTCGCTGATAGATTTAGCAGCAGCGCGAAGGGATGAGACACTTTGTAACGTGAGACCAGACGCAAGAAAGTGTCGCAACGCCGTTTCTTCACTCTACATCCTCTGTGTTTGCGAGACCGAGCGCGACCTGATGTTGCCACCGTTTCTGTTGCCACCTTTTCTGTTCCTTTTTTTTTAAATGGTAGAAAGCATCTGAAACGAGTGTTTTCAACACTTTTTAAACACAAAAGATGCACAAAAAAAGGAAGCGAATTCAGGCTCAATACAAACCCGCGTAAACATATTAGTTTAACTTTGTAAACTGAATGTTCAAGTAAAATCACATAAACAAAACAAAAACCACTTAAAAAAAACAGATTTTTGTAGTTTCAGATGTATTATTTACTGGCAGATTATTTTACGGTTTTTACCCGTAAAAGTAGTCTCTGTTTTTGTCAGTTTTTTTAATCTGTCTTAAGGTCTAAACAGGTTTTTCCTTCCTGTAACTAGTAAAACATCACTCGATTGGTTTCAGTACGGTGACTCTGAAGCGCAAACATTAACTTCTCACGGAAAGGGGAGGGCCTTATAGCAGGAAGCAGAGGACGGACCCTTCTGATTGGACAGACGGACCGTCTTGTCTTTTAACCCCCTTAGTCCGAAGCCTTTCGCCGGCGCGGGAAAGCGACGTGGAGGATTCAAATGACCGGGACCCCTTAACTATTTGCACAATCGGGTTCTGAAAGCTGAGAAATGGTTTTCTGTCAATCAATAAATCAGTTGGATGTGCGGCGGGAGTGCGTGACTGTCTCGCTCAATGCGTGACACTTGAGAGCCCTGTATCCTATTTCCTGTTAAAAGACAGACAGTCCGTCTGTCCAATCAGAAGGGCCCGTCCTCTGCTTCCTGCTATAAGGCCCTCCCCTTTCCGTAAGAATTTAATTTTGTTTATTTATTTTAAGTTAGTTTCCTATTTGCCGTTGTGCTTTGCACTTCAGAGCCACCGTATTTCAGAGTTCACCTGGCCTCTTTTTTTGAAGAATTGTGAAATACTTCTTTAACTGCTGGTCCTTTTAACGCCATATTTCGACCCAGAGACTCGTATAATGCTGGATTTTCGTCTTGATGGTGACATTAAGCCTCTGCGCTCTCCTCCTCTTCCTCCCAGCTGCGGCTGCTGTACGAAGGTAACCCCATGGCCTTCATCATCGAGCAGGCGGGCGGCTTGGCCTCCACCGGCTTGGAGCCCATCCTGGACATCCAGCCCAGCGGCATCCACCAGCGGGCCCCCGTGGCCATGGGCTCCCGGGACGACGTCCTGGAGTACGTCGCCATCTGCCGGAAGCACGCCGCGAAGAAGAAGTGAGGCCGCCGATCAGCGAGAGAGGAAACCGAAACTGGAGGTTCGGCTCAGTTCGAGCTCGATGTACTAAAGGGGTTCGAAGTCGGGGGGGTTAGTTGGGACCGCGATGTTTTTTGATCCGTAGAAACATGAAAACTTGTGGCTCATCAGCTCGGTGACGCACACAAACGCACACATTCCACAAAAAACACACTTCCAAAGAACCAAAATGTGCCAAAAAAAACAAAAGTCTGCTGTTTGCTACAATGAAGTCTCAATAAATGAAGAAATGTCAAAGATTAAATCTGTGTTCTCATTTATCAACCTGTGCTGCACCTTTAAAACTCATTAACTTCATTCATTCATAAATGGTTGGTTTTGTTAATCATAGATTCAATAGTCTAATGTTCCGTCCTTTTTACTTAAAAAAAAAAAGCGCTATTCTTTTATTAGATGTCTTCATATTTTTCATGCTTAAGGTCAGAAACCCCCGTTTGATTTGATTTCATTTGATTTAGGAGGGTTTCTAACCAGACAGAGGATTAAGAACAAGTTAAATATGAACAGAAGAAATAATCAGAAAATTATTTTAAATGAACTTGTGTCAAATAAAAACCGCTTCCTGTATCCGTGCCAATTGTTTCGCAATATTTCAGTTTATAGTTAGTGAATATAATAAAGAGGACTGGGCCAAAACTATTACAAGTGTAAAAAATAATAAAATAAAAACGTGTGCTTCAACCATGATTTCGTTTTTCTAAATGTCTGTTAAACTAATCGAAGTGTAGAGATTATGTGGATGAAACGAATGACAAACTCATTGCGTTTATAGACATCCAAATGTTTTGAAGGGTCCAGAGACACTTAATCCAGACGAGTTGACCTTTGGGCTGAAGGTCGGTGGAAGCTCAGAGTCCTCGTGACATTTAAAGGACCCTGGAGCTGCTGTTGTGCTCCCTCCTCAGTTTGGATTCAGCATTTAAGCCTTTAGTCTTCTTCTTTCAACCGACAGTCAGTGATTACAACACGTCCACGCTTGCTGGATGCTTTTATTTTGAAAAGGCGAGCTTTAACGGGACATTTAGAAGCACTTCCTCTTAGAGAGTTCACAAACAGCTCTCTGTTACTCAAGTCTTCACTCGCTGCTTTTCTTGTGCAGGATTCAACTGTGCAAGTGTGTGCAGCTGATACCTGACACCCCCTCCCCCATCTACACACACACACACACACACACACACAAATAGCTCCCCTCGGGCTGGAAAAGCACCAGGCAGGAGGCGAGGTCGCTCACTCGGGAGGTACAGGAGGAACCATCATGTCGGACCAGTCGGGGTTCGACACGGACGTGTGGACCCTGACCCGGTTCATCATCGAGACGGGCCGGCAGGCCAAGGGGGCGACCGGCGAGCTGACCCAGCTCATCAACGCCATCCTGACCGCCGTGAAGGCCGTCTCCTCCGCGGTGCGCAAGGCGGGCCTGGCCCACCTGTGAGTACGGGACGGGCGGCTTGTGCATGCTCGCCGGGCCGAGGTCAGAGGTCACGATCGGCCGCAGGACGGCAGGCAGGCGGTTCGGCTGACGTCGGTGGATTTAGGCGGCGGCGGAGGCGGCGTGTCGATATGATAGGATTGTTCGGTGCGTGGCGACATTGCAACACTCTAATCTGCAAGTGGGGACATTGTGTGAGTTCTTATGAGGCCAAACAAGGGTCACATTCCGTAGTGGAGGCTTTTATGCAACGTAAATATTCATATATTAATAATATATCATTAAATTAAAATAAATCAGCCTTGCACGACCAAAAACCTGAACATGCAGAGACATTAGTGGACACTCGTGGATTTGTGGAGCTTGTTGTGAAGGAAACACTGTAATAATCGTACAAGTACCTTCAAACTTAATGATAATTCCCTTTATTTATAAAACAAAGAAAAAAAGGTTCTTTAAGTTTAGTATCAATTGATATTTTACTAATTCTTAGCTGATTTTCATTCAGTGAAACAGAAATCACTTTACTTCAATTGCCAGACATTGAGTACAATAGTTTATAAGAGTATTTTTAGCTCCACCAATGAAGGAGAAACCCTGAAGCTGCTGAATGAATTCACCACAAAATAAATAAGGCCGAAGCGTTTAGTCAACTCGTCCTCCTCCAGAACGCATCTGGATCAAATACGGTGATACTAAAGATGTGAGATACACGCAGAGGGGATTGATTTGGCTGACTGATGGATTGATCGATCGGCCCGCGCAGGCAGGGCCTGGCGGGCTCCGTCAACGTGACGGGGGACGACGTGAAGAAGCTGGACGTCCTGTCCAACCAGCTGTTCATCAACATGCTGCAGGCGTCCTACAGCACGTGCTGCATGGTGTCCGAGGAGAACCAGGAGCTCATCGTCACGCCCAGAGACAAGCGGGTGAGCGGAGAACTTCTTATTGATCCGCAGGCGTCTGCAGCTGATCGGGACGCTGCCAGGGGGGGGGGGAGGGAGAAACAACATCCTCAAGAGCTCCGCGTGAACAGGAACTGATAATTCGATGGAATGTGAGGATGCTTTTTGTGCGACAGGGGAAGTACGTGGTGTGTTTCGACCCTCTGGACGGATCCAGTAACATCGACTGCTTGGCTTCTATCGGCACCATATTTGCCATCTACAAACGGGTGAGTGGGATAACTCAACGCAAAGCATCACAAAGGGTTTATATTTACTGCTTTACTGTTTGTTTGAACGGGGGTTGAAGTTCATTCAGTTTCTTTTAAGAAGACTTGTGTATGCTGCAGGAACTCACTGGGGCGCAGTAGCGCTCTGCAGACACCAGGGGAGCTGCTGCACCGCTCATCCCAGTTCCCTTTAAAGTGAATGCAGTCATTTAAGTACTCAAAGGCGAATACCGTGCAACAAAAAATACAAATATAAAATACTGTCGTCTCTGCTCAAGCACCACTTGTAAATATAATTTGATCTTTTTAGTTGAGCTTTAATTGTACGCCATCTACAAACGGGTGAGTGGGATAACTTAACGCAAAGCATCATCACAAAGGGTTTATATTTACTGTTTTATTGTTTGCTTGAAAGGGGGTTGGAGTTCATTCAGTTTCTTCTAAGTTTTAAATATTACAAAATAATATTAGTGAATATAATTGACACACCGGTAAGTGGACGATGAAATGTAAGTATGTGAGTGTCAGAATACTTGTATGTGCTACAGGACACTGACTGTGGTGCAGTAGAGGTCTGCAGACACGAGGGGAAGCTGCTGCACAGCTGATCCCAGTTCTGTTTAAACTGAATGCAGTCATTAAGTAATCGAAGGTCATGCAAGAAAAAAAACACTTGTAAATATATTTTCATATTTTTAGTTGTGACTTATTTTAGCTTTAATTGTACGGGTTTACAGATTTTACAGATTTTTTTTTACCTGTTTCTCCGAATTTAAACTGTTTTAATTACAATATTTTGTGCAAATGCAGATCTGGAAACCCTGACCCCGCGTACCTCCCTCCCCTTTTTTTTGCCGTGCACTGGGGACCTGAAGGCGCTGCAGCAAACAGCCGCTCACGTGTCCACGTTTTTGCGCTCCAGGTCTCGGAGGGGGAGCCCGCGGAGGAGGACGCCCTGCAGCCGGGGAGCAGAATCGTGTGCGCGGGCTACACGCTGTACGGCAGCGCCACGCTGGTGGCCCTCAGCACCGGGGCCGGCCTCCACTTCTTCATGCTGGACCCCGTGAGTGCCCCGCTGCACTACCGCCCGCCTCCCGGCCTCACCGGGTGTGTGAGCTGCTGTTTATTGGAGAAAACGCACATTCATCCCGTCAATCATTCCGCTCGGGGACTACAAACACACATGAAGGGGTTTTTATTGGACACTTCTTTAAGTCCAGCATGGATATAAAGGCAGGGGGGGTTTATGAGTTGGAAGTTGTTTTAAAATGGTAATCCTTTAAATTTCACTGCTGGTTGATTTAGAAATGTCGAGTTGTATCGTGCTTCCTACTCCAGATTGAGATTTACCCTTTTCTTTTTGCTATTTGGCTCAGAGGGAACAGCCATTGGAAAGCAGCTGTAGTTCTATGGGATAAAGAGGTTCAAAGCATATTTGTAAAAAGTTATTTTAAGCATAAAAAGCCGCCAAAACACGTCACTCTGGCATTTTGAATGGCCTGTTTTCACTACATGTAGATGGATCCGTTATGGTGGTCCAGTCTAACGTCTGGGCTTTGAGCCGTCTCTCTATTGGAAGAGTCTAACCTAACACTTGTCTCAGGGTTTTAGGGCTCAAAATGAAATTCATTTTTGTTTATTCTGTAACCATGAAATGATTTGAGAGGCAGTGTTTGTGTGGTTTTGTTTTGTTTTAAATCACGGTAAACGTTCCCGACCTTCAGGCCGTCGGCGAGTTCATCCTGACCGAGAAGAACGTGAAGATCAAGCCGAAGGGGAAGATCTACAGCATCAACGAGGGCTACGCCAAGTACCTCCACCCGTCCATCAACGAGTACCTGAAGCACAAGAAGTACCCGCAGGTGAGAACAAGCCAACAGGTGATTCTCAGCCCGACGTGCTCCGTCCGAACATACATGACGTTACGAGGTGAGCGCGTGAGCGGTGACGCTCCGCGGCAGCGCAAACACACGTGACCCGCGTGGATGGCGGTCAGCTGAGCTGCCGGATGGCGACACCGACGTCCCCTCCTGCGGGAAACATCGCGTTCCGCAGGAAGCCGATCGCCACACTCAGCACTTCAGCAGGAACCTGACGTGCGAAGCCCGCCTGGTCATCAGCGCGCTGCAACAGAATTGCAAATGTTTTGCAAAAAAACCCAACATTTTTTTAATGTGCATTTTGTTGCCTTAAATAACCAGTTTTTAAGAGCAAAAAAAAGTCTGTATTTGGAGTCTCCAAGCAAGAGATTACAACAGCGTTGTAACAGTGACTCCAACAACACAATGGAAAATAAAGTAAATAAAAGAAGAAGACCCCCCCAAAGACCCCCCCTCGTCTGTGTGTAGAAACTCACGGCTCACTCGGTCGAAACCGGGAATGTAAATATTATAATTTCTTTTCAGAAATATATATCAGCAACTTTATTATTAAAACACTCTTTGGAGGAGGAAAATAGAAGCCAATTCATTAATAAATGATGCCTCACTGCTGAGTGTTTGCATGAAAAAAGAACAACGTGTTCCACTCGGAGGCAAAAAGCTGCTGGCGAGTGTTTTCTGCTGTCTGCTGTGGGAGGGACCAGTCTTTGTGTGGGCGGGGTCACTCCCTCACCGTGGCGGTTACGTGACTCAGCGAGCACGTGACTGCGCGTCAGGCTCTGCAGGTTGCGACGCGGCGCCGCGTTCAGGGACGAGTCCCTTCGTGCATTGGGCGTTAAAAGGTGAGAAGCCGGCGTCGCTTGTTATTGTCAGCAGGCGAACTTTGACCCCTGCGCTGTTCTGCTCAGCTTTTCTTTGAAAGCAGGTCGAAGCTCCTGATCCCTGAGATTCGCTGAAACTTTCAGCTGCTGTTTGTGTGATAACACGTCAAATCTAAGAGATTTTCTAAGAGAAATACGGAGTAATACTTATGATTAAATTACTCTGAATCTCATACTTTAAAAACAGTTACTTAAAAAAGTAATGCACTGGGCTTTTGCATTTATGTAAAATGTGACATGATTGAGATGACCACAAATTATTCAAGTAAATTAAATAGATGAATGAAATTATTTACTAATAAAATAAAATAAATAGATTTCCTCCAATGATTCTTTTACAATTTGTTTTGATTGAACTTTTGTTTTGAACAAACGGGTCATTTAATTAAAACATTGAATCATTTCAAGTCCATTCTTTAGAGTTGACTTTGTTCTTTTATAGAATGGAGAAGTTAAAACAGGACGTAACAAATGAACCCTGACCCCGGCTAACTAGCTTAGCTTAAGATACAGTTAGCTAGTTATATGCCACCACTTATCCCCCCTGTGGAACTATGGGACATTTAAAAACTGGAGTCCCGGACCATCAAAAGACGTTTGACAGACACCGACGTTGTATAACGTGGTGCTCATTGTCCCCTGCAGGACGGCAGCGCTCCCTACGGCGCTCGCTACGTGGGCTCCATGGTCTCAGACGTCCACCGCACCATCGCCTACGGAGGCATCTTCATGTACCCCGCCAACGAGAAGAGCCCCAAGGGGAAGGTGAGCGCTGCCCTCTGCCGGGACGCCCCACCGAAAAAACATGGCGTCCGACTGTAAAGCGCCACAGATCAAGGCTCCGGGTTCCTGGAACCCGAAGACAAACCGTCCCGGGTATCGTAGCGTAACCCGAGGCCGCCTGTGGGGGACGGCGTTCCAGCGGTAAATTAAGCTCAGAGAAAGAACAGGCCGGTCACTAACAACACAAACAACCTCTCACCTGTTCCTCCTGCCAGCGCCGATCCCTTTATAACGTTTATAACAATGTTTGAATCAATAATACGTCTGTGACTTTAATAAACACGCAGATAGTTTGTGACCTTAGCTGACCTTTGATAACTGTTTACTGCTAATTCATGTAACGGCAGTAAAGCACATTATAAAGACAGTAATCAGTATTTTAGGGTCAACCCGTATTTTAAAGAGCAAAGTACTGTTTGAAAAACACACTTTGCTTACAGAGCTTCAGACAACTTTAACTTGTGTGTCTCTCTGTGTGTGTGTCCCCCCCCCCCCCCTGAATCAAAGCTGCGTTTGCTGTACGAGTGCAACCCCATCGCCTTCCTGGTGGAGCAGGCGGGGGGCGTGGCCACCACCGGCACCCAGCGGGTGCTGGACGTCCAGCCCGAGGGCCTCCACCAGCGGGTGCCCTTCGTGGTCGGCTCGCCCGACGACGTCAACGAGTACCTGACCTTCGTCAGGAAGCACCAGTGAGCCGCCGGGGCCCCGCGGACGCGTCCGAGAGGCGTCGTTTCCCCTCGTTTTTTTTTATTTGCAATTTACGTTAAAAGGTTTGAGTGGTCAAATCCGTTGTAAGACCATTGGACTATAATCAAGTTTTTTTTATTTGTGATCATCGTTTCACACATTTCACTAAACACTTTTAAAACGGATCTTTTCAAAGTGGACTCAACAGAAGGATTTCAAAGGTTTCTCGCTTTGTGCGACATCCTGAAATCAACCTTTTGATAAAGTCTTATTCCACCTTTTTCCTGAAGTTGACCGAAGTTTTCCTGAAGCAGTGCTACAAAATATATGACTATTTATCCTCCAAATCACACGGTTCTATATATTTGTGTCCATACATCTAGATTCCCACTGAGGGAGTTGAGTTCATCCGTTGCTACGTAGTGAAATAAATCAAACCATGAATAAATCTGTCAGCGTATCATGGTTTGTGTTCACTCACATTTAATCAGCAGTGGGCCCAGTTAAGCACCGGTGTAAAAACTCCACATGAATCGTTGCTTTGTTAAAGAATAAGCGTCACTTCTCCAGACGCGCTCACGTGAAATCATGTGACTCAAAGCGGCCAGCGGGATTAACGACAAAGCTCCTGTTATTCTGTCAGAAGAGGTGACGAACGTTTGTTTCACAGCCACAGAAGCACGAATGGGGGACGTACAGAAAGGTCCCGCAGGGCAGTAAAGAAAAAAAAATAAATAAATAAAAATCCCCAAACGTGAAGTAGTGTTTCACAACTTTATTCGATCATAGTAAAAGTAAAAAGAATCATTTACAAATGACCTGAAGCAAGTTAATTTACCACCTACCAAGTAACATACGCGTATTTACAAAGAATAAAACACTCGACTAAATAAAAGTGGCAGAGACCCAGCCAAACACAAAATGGCGCCATTTCCCTAAAAACAGTGTTTCTCTTTATAAAACATTGTGCGATCTCCCGCCGCCGCTCTGACCGAAGCCTCGCCGGCGGCTCCCGGCCGAGCTATTGCAATTTTAAAAAAACAACAACAACAGAAAACAAGTAGCTGTGCAGCCGAGCCGACGTCAGACGAGGGGATAACTGGCGGCCGTGGCGATTCCGCAGTGGTTCTTCCGGTCTTTGGCCATGTAGATGTAGCCGCCGTCGCCCCACTTCTCCCCCCAGCTGAGGAAGACGAGAGAAACAGACCGTTACAGCCGGCGGGGCGCGAGCTAACGGGCTAGCCGCGGAGGCGAGTCGCTTAGACAGACCTGTTTTTAACGATCCAGAACTTCTTCCCGTCCTCGTCTTCCGTCTCGGCGCCGTAACCCACCACCAGCACGCCGTGGTCCAGCTCCTGGCTGCTGCAGCCCTCCTCGTAGTAGATCCCTAAGAAACACAAAAAGAACCTCGGTCAGCTGCGAGTAAAAAGGAACCCGAAACGGGGGGGGGGGGACGAACTGGGGACGCGCGCTGACCCGACTGGTAGAACTGGAAGGACTCGTGTCCGGCGTCGATGGCGACGGAGACGGGCCCCACGGCGGCCACGGCCTTCATCAGCGCGTGCTCCTTCCCGCTCGGGACGTCCACGAAGCCCGTGTCGTTGGCGGAGTTGAACATGGGGTCGTACTTGCACGGCAGGTTGTCCTGGACGGGGAGACGGTCACGTGAGACACACTATACTGGAGACACGGTTTCCATCGCGGGGTTCCCACGGCGGCCCCCCCCTTACCACGCCCTTGTAGGGATAAGCGGCCTCAGAGTCCAGGCCCTGGTTGTCCTCCACGTACTGGAAGGCCTGGTCCATCAGGCCGCCGCTGCAGCCCTCGTTGCCCTCGGGCCGCGAGCAGTCCACCAGGTTCTGCTCGCTCAGGGACACCAGAGAGCCCGTCTTCCTGAAGATCTGACCCTCCAGGGCGCCGGTAGCACTGAAGGCCCAGCAGGAACCACACTCACCCTAAAAAGAAAGAAAAAGACACTTACGTTTCACCTCAGAGCACAACGCGCTCACATCTGCAAGTTCACACGTCAGCGCTCCTCTACGTCATTGAGCGACGCTTGTTCAATGTTCTCCGGCTGAGCAGACGGTATCTTCAGGGAGGAGGAGGAGGAGTGTGAGGCTAGATAACAACCCCACACACCTCCTTATCTCCCTGTCCAAGCCAAACATTTACTCCAGTGGACAAAGTGACTTCGTTGCTTCATGAAAAACTGGTCGCGTTGAGCAATCGCGTCATTTTAAGGTTCCAGCTGTTTGTAATGACGTCACGGCTACGAGGCGCCACAACAGAGGACGCGTTTCGCGGTCATTTGGGTCCAATTTTTGGGGACGACTAGAGAATTTTCAGACTTAACAGTACCTGGTCCTTAACGGGGGTGACGTAGCCCTTTTTCCTCCAGTCCACGGAGCGCGGGGCCTCCAGGAAGTTGGGCTCCATGAACAGGGACCCCCGGGGCTTCCTGTCGGCTTTGTGCTTGTAGCCGTTCATGAGCTGCCTGAACTCCTCGTTGGTCTGCGGGGAGACAAAGTTCAGTCAGCGGAGGGAACCTGAGAGATACGCAGTTAAAGACGAGCGACTGCGGTTTGGAACTCAGAATATACTTGATAAGTTTATGAAGAAACAAATGAATTTCCCTGCTTCCACGTTGGTGGTTTTTAATGTTATTGTTTGCAGGGTTCCCTCCATTTGTGTGTGTGTGTGTGTGTGTGACGGCTCACCATGTCCCCATAGTGGTTCATGCCCAGCCGGTACGAGTGTTTGCCCATGGAGTGCTCCAGGTTGTGCAGCTCGATCTTCCTCAGGTTCTTCTCCCACACCATCCTCCTCCAGCCCTCCTCCCTCTGCAAACACAGTCCGCCCGGTTATTTTCGGAGGCAGCAGCACGCATGCACACAACAACAACAACAACAACAACAACAAGCAGTCACCTGGTGGTAGAATCTGGTGTGCCAGCTCTTCCACAGGCCCCAGTGGTCGTTCAGCTGGGGGTCCAGGCTGGGGGCCGACAGGGCTGCACCGAGGCACACGGTCAACACGGCTAAAGGCAGCATCATCGCTTCCTGTCGGAGACAAAAAAAAAACAACAGGCGTTAGGACTCCATTTCCCAGGATGCACCGCACGTCCATGCAAAGACACATAACGTCTGATGAAACGCGATCGCCGGACGCTTCGGGGGTCTTTTAGGACACGTTGTGCTCGATCGCGATTCACCGGGAAACGCGACGCGAATTAAAAGATAAAACAGCACGAGAATAAAGTAAAAACATCGATTAGTATTTAACGTTTAAACAGTGGAGAGCCGGCGGTGCGGATCGTTACGCAACGTAAGGAGTGATGACCGGATCCCAGACAGCGTGAACGTGTTTTTGTTTAGTCGATGGAGTCACGCGATCCGCATTTAAAAAGAGCCGGAAAATCGGGAACGGAACCCGGGAAGGAAACCGGGGAGGAACCCGGCGGGTTTTCCCACCGGACACAACGGCGCTGCTCGTCGGTTTAAAGCCGCCGGGAAGAAACGGTTCGTGTCTGCGGAGAACCACCGGGAGGCCGAGCGGGCCACTCCAGCCCGGCGAAACACGGCACCAAATCACCACGAAGTCCAGTTTTGTGAACTGAAAAAAAAAAATATATATATTGACGAGATAGAAGCATAAATCGCCTTTTTTCTTTCCCAAAGGAAAACGGTGTTGATCCGGGATGATGACGGGAAAAAAAATCCCTTTGAACCGAATATAACCGATGTTTTTGTTTCAGGCGACGAGTTAAAATGTTTGTTTTCACAAAAGCAACAAAGCACAACGATACAAACGTCCCACTTACTGTCTTTTCTTCACGTTTGAGGCCAAAGTGGAAACTGAGCTCCTGAATCCGAGGCGCACAAAGTTTTATAGGAGCCTGGCTGAGCGGCACCGAGCGCTCTCATTGGTCGCTGCGCGCGTCCCCGCCCCCTCTCCGGCCGGTGACGTCACGGGCGCACGTGATTCCTTCCATCTGGAGTGGTTTCGCCAGAAGGGGACACGGTGTCTCTCTTTTGCAGTTGTTTGGTTTTAATGGAAGATATCAGGGTTGTTTGTTTCAACGGTTTTATTGACGTGGAATCTTTTGAAATAAATCAAATCAAACTACTTGTAAACTACTGAAAATGGGTAAAAAAAAGAACTCTCAGTGGGTTCAAGGTGAACAAAGTGAGGGGGATGAGTTCAGCTTCCTGCGGTCATTTGAGTTCTAAGTAATCAATGGAGGAAACTACAGAAAACCTGCATGAAGATGGTTTCCATCTAAAGCTTTAGCGAATGCACAGACGTTACCAAAAGCTTATCATGTGAATGTAAACACAGTGATCGGCTGCCGCTGTTACACAACACTCATATTTCGCAGGTGAAGATCATTCAGGAAAGTGTGCTAAGGAGTCAGATAGTCGGCTTCTCTTCCTCTTCAGCTGGAAAAAACAGGTTTGTGCTCGATGAAGGATAAATAGGACGGATAATACAATCAGCGAGGGAACGGAAAGGATTGAATATGCATCACAGCACAACTCTCAGTCTGGGTTAACACACGTCAAAGGTCACGGGATTGACGAGATTGTCAAACAGGCAGAAAATGCTGATAAGTTTAGAACAAATTATTTAGTTTTAGGATGCTTCTTGTGTGTAATACTAATCATTTTAGAAAGTACACGTTTTAAGTTGTTTATCCACTTTAATATTTATTTTCTAAGCTACTTTATACTTCCACTGGACTTCATTTTGTGTACTATATTTGACTGACAGATTCTGTTGACAAAAGAATAACAATACTTTGGTACTGTTTGGAGTGTTTTTAGCTGATAATAATGTATAAAAATGTACTGTAATAAATGAATTGAATATCACAAACATCAAACTAACATCTAACAGATTAAAAGTGAGTCATCCATTTTCGGGATGTGATGCATCATGTTTTTTACGTTGTCACGATGCATCAGACGTCACAGTCGACAAAAATAAAGTTACCTTTCGTTTGCAGAAAGTCGGCGTGTGACTGGATCACGATGCTGGAGCGACTCACTGGTCGACTTCCTGTGTGGTCAGTCGGTCGCATTCACACCCGTGGCCTTGATACGCGGAGTAAAATACATTAAAGTGCATCTCTACGTCCAAATGCTTCACATGTTGCTATTATTAGAACAATTCCACTGATGCATTCATCTTCAATCGGCAGATTTATGCTGCAGGTTGAAGCGAATTCTGTGAATTTATTCATACAATTAAAAGAAAAACAGCATATTGAGGTCAGATATACTTTTTGTACATAAAGTTGAACAATCTTTACATATTATTACCTCAGGTACAATAATTTACAAATGTGCACTACTGGAGTGAATAGTTAACTCACAGCATGGAAGGCAAATGCAGCATGTTAGCGCAGCTTAGCATAAACTCTGGAAACAAGTAAAAACACAGTAATAAGCACAAAAGTGTTGCGTGCTGCACTACTTCTCGTATCCGGACGTGCATCATTTTGGATGAAATGAAATAAACTGTTGTTTTTATCCTTTGAGGTTCGAGCGGGTAAAACAAACAAGATGCTAAGCTACGCTAACCCACAAGTGGCTTCACAATCAAACGTCCCAAAAGCTGCCAGTCTGCAGTCATCAACATGTCTTTCCCAACAGTCCAATGATTTTGTGCTGATTGAGATTTGCAGCTCGGCTGCAGGAGAACTTTGTGAGTCCGTTAATCATTATGTTTTGTTTATAGATTCTCCGGACCGGACAGACACGAAGATTAAGACACAAAGATTAGCAAACCCCGACTGATGAACGCTGCTGTGTGTCGTTGTTTTTTTGTGTAACAGATGCAGGAATGTGTTTGATGACAATGCTAAATACCTAGACAGGCAGTGAAGAGACAATAAGCACTATCTTATCACTGGGGGGGCATGAAGTGCAACAACTCAATGGATTTTTGTGGGACTGTTTACTTGTTTACTCTATTGTGTTGCCCAAAATCAAAAATAATCTCTGAGAGTTAATTTACTGAACAGAAAACAGGGACATTTGGACATCAACACCTGAGCAAACTTCATTTAGCGACGAAGGTCTCGTAACGTGGACGCGTTCTTTTGTTTGCTCATAAATATTTAGACGATTAGCTGGACTTTGTCAGGCTCAGCTTCCACTATTTAGGGTCAGGAGGTCAATTCAAAGCCATGCTAGTGCTAGCATAAGCTAACGTTAGCATAAGCTAACGTAAGCACCGCGCTGCGGCTACGCCATCAATGTTAACGCACCACGAGAACAACACATTGTAGTATTTGTGGTGTATTAAACTGACTGTTGTTCTCCTTGATACAATCACGCAACTTTGTTTCCGATGTCAGAAAGTATCCAGAAACAGAACGACGTCACGTGAGCTGCCTCACCGCGGGAATCCAGCCAGACAATAAACGATGGTTTAAATACGACTTCTTATTTCCTTCATCAAAGCAAAGTGTTGATTGTGAACAGCGGCGGTGGAGGAAGTGGATGTATAGACGTCTAGTGAAACGTCTTCCTCTGCGTCCAGAAAACCAACGGTTGACATCGGCCCGGTGAGACGGATTCATTTGGTGCCCAAATCGGCTTTATCGCCCATCGTTGCCACCACGTGGCGTTCTGTGTATCTTCAGTATTTATTTACTGTGTTCCTGAGCTGCTGCTGGTTTTTTCAGGCTGGAAATGATTCAATGGAAACGGTTTGAGAAACTAAACCTCGTCGCGAGGTCGGGATTAAAATGAGAGGCCTCTTTTTCGGGGATTTAAGGAAAACAAACATGTCGTTCGGTTGGTTGAGGTCAATGTCTTCACTCTATCTGAACACGTCATCATTTAGGTGTTTATTTAAACAGCTGGGGAGCAAACTACAAAGGGTTAAATGTCAAACGGTCAACGGCGAGTCATGTGAGCGCAGGAGGGACAAAAGGAGCAAGAGACAACGTTTACGTTTCAAGGCAGTGAGGACGTCCTTCAGACTAAACTTCATAAGTAATAAAAGTGCTTTACAGTCAAACGGCTTCACAGTTTAATGAAAGATCACACAGCTGGAAATAATCTAGACTTCAACGTCAAGTGTTTTGTCTTTTCTTTATTCTTTGATTTTGTAAACACAATCATTTCAGACCAAACTCGTTAGTTTCCACCACAAAAATATAACGATATATAATTTGTAAATAATTATAAAACAAGATAGGAAAAAATTAAGGGTAGAATCTTTTATTTAAGGGGCAGAGTATTTCTTTCTTTAATGTGTAAAAAAGGAAGAAAAGAAAATTCAGTGGCATAAAATGTCATGTTAAAAGATAATTACACTAATTTTTCATTTGTAAAAAAATATTCTAAAATATCATAAATGGCACGGGGAACGTCATTGGCTCTCGTTTACAGTGAAATAAAAAATAAAACACCAACGGCTCCAATGTCTATTTGATATATTCATCTAATCACAAACAAATCAGATGAGAGATCAGACGATGAACTTAGAATCTAATCCGGACGACAACAGAAACAGGATGTTGTTTTGTTTGTCCCTCGTACAGAGAATAAAAGGCGGAGAAAGTGATCGAACTATTGATCTGTGTTCTGATCTTTTACTCAACATGTTGGATCTTTGAACTTAGACATTTGTCAGCAGTTGCTTAAATTGAATTTCTATTTGTTTCATTTGACTTTTCAAATCATTTCAGTAATTGGGAAGAAGACAAGAAAATATCAGAGGAAAAAGTGAACTATTGGGAGAGAAATGCATTTTTGTTGACTTTGTTTTAATTGTTTCGCCACGTCTACAAAGACCTGTAACATTTCATTTAACAATAATCAATGAAGTAACCATCTTCAAATATGAGAGAGACCAGACGTTAGGAAAAGAATTTATTATAAAACGTATCACACTACCAAGTGTCAGAAGTACTAAGAACATGGCATTCCAGGACATGCTAAAAGGACGTAACATAAATAGCGACAAAAGAAAGAAGACAACGTGTGCAATGTGGCGATCGGAGGAGAAATATCAAAGATCAAATAAATGTGCTTCAGGGACACTTTTAAATCCACTCGTTTTTTTGGTGAGAACCATCCGGGAAAGAAAAAGACACCGAACAGACACAAAGATGATAATAATAATAATAATAATATAATGATTCCCAGCTTTTACAAAAATGTAATATTCACTTCCCTTTCTGAAACATCTCTTCTCAGCTCGTATACTGTACAAGGCAACAACAACAACAACAACAAGAGGAATGAACGAGTGTGTTTGAGGCACACAGTATTGGCAAAAGCTTCGGTAAAACAAAACTTAAATAAAACGTTGCGTCTTTGATTAGTTTTATTATTTATATTCTTTATATTCTCAGTGCCGTACATTCATCTTTCATTTGGGCCGACGGCGCGAACAGAAGAGCGAGGACGAGGAAACGCAGAGTACGCACAAAGAGGAGAAGAGAGGAGTATTTGAAATAGTATCTAAAGTTTCCCCTCACAGGAAATACTGCACTCTGGCTCTTTGTTCTGGCCGCGTCCCACCGCGTGCAGCGCGACTCTTTTATCCAAACGTCAACATCAGAAAACAGCAGCTTTCACTAGAGGACGTTGTTATGCCCCCCACCCCGACCTCTGACCCCCCCCCTCCGCCCCCGCTTTCATTTCTTACTTCACGCCACCTTTCCGAGCTGCGTGATACAAGAAGACAAAAGAGAAAGGAGACGTGAAGCGGCGCAGAGAGAAGCTCCAACGAGGACGTCACAGGAAACCTGCGCAGGAGGCTTTTAAGCAGATTCCCATCATGGGAGCGACCCTTCAGCTCGGTAGAAAAGGTTAAAAGTGAACTCTGTCAGGGGTCGGTGGGGCTGAAGCTGGAGAGGAAAATGAGTGAAAACCTTTATAGTGACACTTTATTTTGAAAGGTCCAATAGTTATCATAAAGGAACTGATATGTTACTGTGAAGTCTTTAAAAAAGCTCCTGGAAAGGACGATGTCTTCACCTACAAACTGATTATATAATAAACATTCTACTAGTTTAGAGCATGTAAAGTACCGACATCATCTCCCTGCTAGAGATGCTCCAGATGATACGGGATTGTTTACAATCAACCCATAATTAACACATTAGAGACCATTGTTCCTTCCAGGAGCCGCTCATGACATCGTAAAATAAAGTGTCACCACAGTAGATCTCTGTTTGGGATTAAGAAAGAAACTTCTAATACTTTGTCCAGCGATGCGTCGCGCCGAGTCTCACGTCCCCAGAGACGCCGACGCCGAACGCAAAGCAGTAGAAATCTGATCCAGCAAAATCTAATTGAACCGTAAGAAGAGCTTCGTTTTCCTTTCTACAGATTAAGACGTGATTGAAGTTAATTCCCCGTGAAGTGTCCACAAGGCACAGTTCTTCTAATGTCAGCAAAGACCTGCGTTTTCGTTTGTAAATGAAACGGTTTGTGCTCTTTAGGGAGGTCGAAGGCCACACAGGGAGAGATGCTGCTCGTTTATCAAACACGAAGCTTTAACGGCCGAACGTCAGAGAAACAGAAGCGAGGAGGGAGATCGTATCAAATGCACCTGTGAGGAAACACGGCAAATCATTTGGATATCTAATAAGAGGTCCAAGCACAAGGCCTCCATCTTTGTTTGTTCTTTCATTTAAAGTGTCTGCGAGGACGAGTGAGACTTCGATGTGCCGGAGACGTGGGCGGGAAATAATATAAACTAGCAGCACAACGGAATCTTTGGAGCGCCGGACGATCGGCGCCTCCGCCGCATTCAAAGTTGTGAGGGAAAGGTCGTCTGCACACGGACACAACATCTGGTTCCCACGGCAACCGAACGGAAAGCTTTAAGGAGCGAGCAGCTGGACGATTGCACTTCGTGTTCGCTGTGACGCAAACGTTCACGTCGGGCGAAGCTCGCCGAGCACGGGAAGGACGCCTGAACCCCCGCCGCAACCCCCCCCCCCCCCCCCCCGGACCTCCAACCGGTCGGTTTCAGGCGGGACACGACGGAGCCTGATGGAGTTGTACGACGTGCCGCCGTAGCAGGCGGCGGGGGGGGGGGTAGCCGTTGGCGGCGGCGGCGACCAGCGCCTCCATGTTGACCCTGAACACGGGCGACGCTTTGAGCAGGAAGTCGGCGGCGTCCCGTCGGCCGAGCTCCCTCAGCTTGGCCATCAGAACGCCCACGGTGCTGTCCGCCCGCCCGCTCCACGCCCGCAGCAGCGCCGCGGTCGGGCTGGGCTGCGGCGCGGCCTGCCCGGGGTCCGCCGTCGCACAGTCCAGCTCGGGGCCGCCGTTGGGGGTCCCGTTGCCGTGTGTGGCCACCAGGTCGGTGAGGCCGAGGTTCATGGCGAGCAGGCACCAGTCTTTGCCCAGCGCGTCCGGGGGGTCCAGCATGCGGCACAGCTTCCTGCGGGCCAACAGCGGCACGTCCGATATGTGGACGTCCGTCCCCAGGGTGCCCTGCTGGTAGACCTCGGCGCAGCCGAAGGACAGGATGCTGCTGAAGCTCTCGCGGTAGCCGCCCATGGTGTTGGTGAGCGAAGACTCGCGCTGGACTCGCGCGCGGAAGAAGTCTTTGGGCTGGTAGACCATGATGGGGCCGTGGTGCTCCCGCAGCTGCTGGGGGCTCAGGTAGTATTTGGCGGTGAGCAGCCCGGGCAGCGTGGAGGCCAGCAGGTTCTCCGTGATGCTGCAGGCGGTGTCCAGCAGGGTGTAGCACTTGGCCCGCTCGGACTCGTGCCCGCGCACCTGGATCTCCAGCCCCTGGCCGTGGTTGACCAGCAGGATCATGGCCTCCACTCCTCCCTGGCTCACCTTGGCGCCGTTGGTCCACAGGTGGATCTCGCCGTCGAAATCCTCGCCGCCCTCCTCCTCCGGCTTCTGCTGGTGGCTCCAGCGGCACAGGTTCACCTGCAGCTTGTGAAACAGGCCGCAGGGGAAGGGGGTGAGGTGCTCGGCGGGGACGAGGCGCACGCCGCCGTAGAGCAGCGAGTCCTCCTCCTCCTCCTCCTCGGTCCAGGAGCGGTGGAGGCCGTTGGTCTTGATGAGGGCGGGGATGTCCACCATGGACGGGTTGGTGGCGTCGCGGGCGCAGACGTCCATGGCGTCCAGGATCTGCAGCAGCTCGTCCACGTCGCTCTCGGGAGCCAGAGCCTGCACCTCCTCCAGCCTGTAGCGCCCCCTGTAGTGGTGGATGGCCTTGGGCGTCTCCACGGAGAGCAGCTTGCCCAGGACGGTGCTGCAGAGCCAGCGAGGCTCCAGCAGGACGACGTCCTGCACCGTCTCGCTCTGCATGATGTTGATCTGAGGGAGAGAAGGAGAAACAAGTGAAAGGAATGGGTGTGAACATGTTGTTTAAACTTCTCCTTAGTAATTATCTACAGCTGAGCTATTTGTGAACAAATAGCGCACCCTGGTGGTCGTCGTGAACTTAAAACCATCCGCTGCGGAGAAGCTTGGGTTTGATTTATTGTTGAACTAGTAATATTTAGTTTTACGAATAGCTCCAATCAAACTGAAATGACAAAATGAAGAGATAACAATCCTCCCAAAAAAGGTACTGCTTCTGTTTTGCATTCAAAATAAATGATTGCTTAAAGATGCAAATTGTCTCCTCTGACATTTTTTTTATGTGTGAAAATGTTGAGATCTTGCCAGCAGGTCATTTCTTTTTATCTCGTCATTCTAACGCAGTTCGTTCCGCATCGACGCCCACCTCCCCCATGCTGTGCAGCTGCAGGGCCAGGGTGCGCAGGTGGTCCTGGCTGACCAGAGGGTTGATCTGCTCCTGGACGTCGCTCACAAACTGCTGCCACGAGGTCAGCTGGTTGGGTCCGCTCAGCTTCCTCCAGGCCGGCAGCGTCGTCAGCAGACGCTCCGACAGCAGCGTCATGGGACTGCAGCTCTGGAAGGGGCGGGGGGGGGGTTAACATACGTGTGTGTGTGTGTGAGTGAGAGAGTGTGCTTGTGTGTGCAGTTGCTCACAGAGATGATGTTGGCACGGAGCTCCTGAAGGTGACTCCTCAGCAGCTTCATGTCTCTGGAGTTCGAGGCTCCGGCGTCCATCACAAATAGTTTGTCACTGATCTGCAGGTCGCTGCCGAACCTTCAACAAAACAAACAAACATTTAAAAGAACCTAAATCCGTTAACAGGAGCGCAAAGTTATACGCAGGACAATCGTGTGTGCTGTAAAGACAGCTGATGATGCGGATCATCAGCTGTCATCAGATCATCATGCGGAAACATAAATCAATTCATCAAGTACGTTTCCATGACAACCGTTGCTGAGGCTCACGGGACACGACCGCAGCACAGCGCCAGTTTATTGTGGATAAAAGTCTTTGGTTCTGGTCCCGACCTGTTCCTGACTTCCTTGAGCAGGGCCTTCTCCTTGTCGTAGGTGAACTCTCCGGAGAAGGCGCGGGGCACGTCGGCGAGGTCGGCGTGCGTCGCCACCAGGGCGACCGTGAGGGGCTGCTGGACCCGCCCCCCGAAGGCTGCAGGAGGAGAAAAAGAAAAAAATACTGTTCAGATTTGCAATATTCACATGGAGCATTATGAGGACTTCCAGCAGGTTCAGAAGCCGGAACCAGGTGCAGTGCTGTGAAGTACACAAGGAAAGATTGTTGCCAGCTGACTATTGATGTGACACACGAAGCCTTTTTCACTCTTCATTTCCATTTCTCACATTAAGTAAAAGACCAATCGTTTTTTTTCCCTCCCTGTGCCTTCCTTGGTAAACGCGTCCCAACGCGTGACCGTTGAGCCCGGTGCTCACCGATGTCGTCCTGCGGCAGCAGGAGGGCTTTCAGCAGGTTCAGCCAGTAGGTGATGTGCCCCAGCTGCGTCTCGTACGGCTCCTCCAGGCTGAACAGCACCAGGTGGATCGCCGTGGCGTCGTTGGCGGCGAAGTAGTCGTAGGAGCAGTAGTAGACCGGGTTCCCCGAAAACTCCCACACGCTGAACTCCCCGACCCCTGGAAGAGGGGAAACGAGAAGGGCCGTGTAGAGCGAGGCGCTGGGGTCTATAAGAGTGCGGCTCCGCCGAGCCCTCGGGGGTCTCACCGTGGATGCTGCCGTGCTGGATGTCGATGGCCTTGGTGGCCTGGTCGTCGGCCGCGGACAGGGCGCCGCTGACGGGGGAGAAGACCTCCAGGACGCCTTTGGTCAGACTGGGCTCGAACATCATGCTGCGGCTCCGCACGCTCACGTTCTCGCAGCCCGGGTACAGGTTGGAGATGCTCGCCGACACTAAAGGGATTGTTTTTAAATCAAAGTGTCAATAAAAAGTACTTAGTGTATCTTTTACATTAGGACTTTCAGATAAAATCCTTTTTTTAATTTCTAAAGATTTCTCGGCTCCACCAAAATGAACTGATCTGAATCCACAAGTTTTCTTGCACACTTTCAAACACATGATGGCGCTACTTTCTCTGAAATAAACCCCGATGCAGACATCCCGCCTGGAGCCCCTTCACGTCGCGTACGACCACACCTACAGTTGCTTCACTTTGGTTGGAAAATGCAGCATTTTTGTACATATTATTTTAAATGCCCGTAGCGCCTCGTTTGGACCCGATCGGCTGCAGACGGGTGTTGGTTGTTGACGCTTCACACCAGGTCAAACCCACGGGAAACAAAAGAAGATGAGTGCACCTTGATAAAAGGATTCACCTGCAGTTGTTGTTGTTGTGACTAGTTGTGCGGCGCACTACGGCTGCCTGTGAGATAACCAACTGAAATATTTTCCGATCACTTCTTTTTTCAGGAGTCATTCATGCAAAAGCGCTGTGAAATGAATGTAAAGCATCGACCGAGGTCAACGCCTCTGACGGCTGTTCTTCGGTAAATGACGAGCAAAGGAAGCTTTGAACTTTAGCGGTGCGCGAGGAGAGGGCTTCACACCACAATGGTTTTCACTCTTTTCACTCTCTATTGCTCGCATGTCCACAGGGAAAAGGGAGATTATATATATATATATATATTTCACAGATTACTAGAGAGGACGACCTGTCAATTAACCCGACGCATGAACGACCTCAGAAGACAGAAACCGATGCAGAATTTTGTGGCACCATGAAGCATTGACACCCGACAGACGTAAATATGCGTCAAACGGGCCAAACGCACTGGCTCAGAAAGGAACAACACTGACGGACGTCCTGAAAAGCCTCACTGCGGACTCGCCTCACGTAGCGCTGCGGATACAGAAAGCAAAAAGAGGCTCTTTCAGCCTCTCTGCAGGGCTGCAGGTGGGGGGGGGATCGGGAACGCGACCCGACTCTCGTAACAGAGTGTTATCGTAGAAAGCATCGCCTCCGTCTGGGAGGTAATGGCTTAAAGGAAACACAATGGCCTGTGTGTGTGTGTGTGAGAGAGAGATGGCGGGATGTGTGCGCTTTGTGCAGCACACTGGACACATCAGGGAGTCTGGTTCTGTGATGCACTGAAGGAATCACACTCAAACCCCCCCCCACTCTCCCCTTGGTGAAAAAGCTCCATAATCTGGGAGGGATCGTTCGGGCCTACCGGCGGGTTTGGAGTTGACGGGGGAGTTTGGGTGGCGGCTGCCGCTGGACAGGCGCGTCCTCTTCCTCCTGAAGAGGCCGCGCAGGATGCCGCACTTGAGGGACTCCAGCAGGCTGCTCTTCCCGGCCCCCGAGTGTCCGAACAGCTTCAGCTTGATGCGGGGCTGGACGGTCTGAGTGTGACGCAGCTGCTGGATGAAGCTCAGCTTGTGGTTGTCCTGCAGCGCGGGAACAGAAATAAAAAGGGCTTCATTGTTTGGACATTTAAAAGAATCGCCGTTTCGGATCCACTCAAATGACGTTATATCTCACGTTGGTATCAAACGCTGTGCACTCCGATATGATTTGTTAACACGAGAGACACATTTTCCAGCGACTAGTAGATGAGTCACGGATCACTGAAGTGGCTTCAGATACGCGAGTGGTTGCGTGGGGGTTTAAAAACGCCCCGCGTACTCCCACCCGGGTCATGTGAACACATGCAACACAAAAAAAAGTTTCTCATTTAAAACAAGCGTGACAATACAACTCTTCTTCTTTCTTTTTTTAAAAGTTGTGCGTTTTCTTGAGATCAGCCTTAAAGAAGCTCAGCGGATGGTGACTGCTGATGTTTTTTGCGCTCTGCACTGAATCTCAGCTGGTTTTCTGGAATAATAATAACAACAAAAATAAGATCCGATTGTTTTAGAAGATACTGTAGCCTGTTACGATCTGCTCTACCTGTCAAGTGTCGAGCAAAGTGACGCCAGAGCGTCTAAAAATGGAGGAACGGTGAAATGTGACGCCTCCCTGCTGTCTCGCTCCACACCTCAGAAATACACCGAGTGTGATGACGGTTTGTGAAACCTGGCTTTGCATCGCAACTTTCCTTCCGGAGTTAAAGCACGTAAACGCACGTTGATCCGTTTAGTTGCGTGGTAATTATTTTTTACCTTTTTAAGCTTCCCCAACAAAGAAACGATGAGCTCGTGTTGATCGGCGTGAGCCAAATCCTCCGCCGTCTTTCCATCCTGAGGGAAAAGCAGATGAACACACGCATGAGGGCTGTGCACTCTGTTCTCACAGTACAGGGCTTGTAATGCACATTTTGTATTGATATTTAGGGTTGGGTTAATAGGTTAATAGGTTAACAGGTTAACATCATACGGTCAGAAAACATCAGAAACATCTGTACGTGTTCTATGATGCCCTTATAAAGCAGCAATAATACACTTATTTGTATTTGTTATAATTTACTTATAGCGCTGTAATGGAACCAGATTTATCATCTCATTATCCACCCGCTGTTAAAACTTGAAGCTTACATTACCCACAATGCAGTTCAACCGCCAACTGTAAACCTGAACAACTGAAATATCGGTTCCCCTTTAAGCTCTGAACTCTCACAGTAGATTACAGTGGTTCAATTACAGCGGCACGCAAGCACAGACACACACACACACACACACACACACACGCACGCACACCTTGTTTCTGAAAGACGGCGAGCGTCTTTATCCAGAAGACAAACAGGATAAAGACGACTGAGCGGAGGCTTTGTTCTCTGGTGCGGCGCACACACACACACACACACACACACACACACACACACACACACACACACACACACCTCTGAGGCTAAATGCAGATTAATGACAGCTGCAACCCGTCGTTCACCACCTAAGCGCTCTGTGAGCAAACGCACCAGAGTGACGGATCTCCTCCGAGCGGAAGAAGAGGAATGACGTCACATAACAAGCCTCCGACCGATGAATTATACATCTCAATGTGTGCTTTTAGAATAAACATCGGCCGTCATACAATATTCACAGCCGGAGGATGCAGAGGGAGGAAGCTCCATCCAAGGACTGAACTGTCTGAATTGAAGCAGGTGAAAAACAAAGTTTTCTCACGATATCAGAGTGAGATGAGGATGTTTTACACTTTATTTATGATAGATAATATTTCACATGGACTAGATTCAGCTGTTCACTACACAATTCAGAAGACAAATAATGTTACAGGTGGATAATTATTGTTTTCATCATTTCAAACAAGCCTTCAGGTTGGTCTAAATCCAATAGGATTCAACAGTTATTGATCAGAGGAGGGCAAATTCACAACAGATTAATATAATAATCCCATCTGAACTCTATGCACGATTGCAGCTGACCATTATTCTCATTAACCTGCTCAATACTTTTGCTTGATTGAATAATCAAATTAACAAATCTGGTGTTCGAAGCAACATACGGTTCAACCCACAGAAATATATATTTTTCAACTGCACAAGACAAATGAAAGTAAGAGCTGTCAGAGTTCAGGTTCTTTAAGCTGTTTTTAGAAATAAGATTCATGTTCAGAAGGAATTCTCTCGACTTTATTGCTCAAAAATGTGTTTAAATGAAGATGCCGATATAGACCTTTTGTATGTGAGGTCGTCGAGTTGCTGCTGAAAACTGACGCTTTTGGTTTGAATGTTGTTTGGTGCAATATAAGTAAATAAATATATAACTTTGAAGGTGCCTAAAGGGAACATTTAAGATGAGCTTCCTGCTTCTATAAAGTAAGACGTGTGTGAGGAGAGCAGCTGCGATGCTCTGCAGCTCAAATGAAAAACGCTCCAACAAATTCAAGTGATTTGAACAAAGATGAGACAATTTTGCATAATATACTGTACATAATATGCAGTATATATAGTCTGTTGTTAATGCATTTCATTATCCATGGGGGAAGACCTCAGCTGAGCCATATTAAAAAATAAATAATCAAAATGACAAGAAGCCGATCTGGATTTGAACTTATTTTTCTTATTTTCTTGCGGATTCACTTTCCGCGTGATTCATCGGGACACGCGCTGTGACTTACGTTGGTGACGACGTCCACGTCGGCTCCGGCCAGGCAGAGGTGACGGACCACCTCCAGGCTCCCGTTGTTGGCCGCCAGGTGGAGGGGGGTCCTGCCGTACTGGAGGAGGAGAGAAACGCAGTCACAGCCTACAGAGACGAGGTAAAACGGCGAGATCCTGCAGCCGCGAGAGGCTCGGACTCGAGTGATGCAGCCTGCATTGTGATTAAAGATGTTTTCCATCCGCCTGTTCATCAATAATCGGCGGAATAGCTGCCTCCCTTCACGCGTGTCAATCCTCACTCAAATAGCATTTAGAAAAGCAGTGCTGAAGCCGATCAATAGTCCGGTGTCTGTCATGTGTAATCACTTCCCTTCCCTGGTTCCCTGGTGAATTCACAGACTTGTTCTACGACCTGTTAATTAGAGAGGATGGCAAGTCTGAAATGTGATGCGAGCGTTCTTTCATTTAACAGGAACAGAAAGGGATGATTATAGTCAAATATATCAAAACAGTATAATCGTAATATTCATCAAACATATTCAGGTTTGGGGTTTTATTAAACTCACTGGATAAAAAAACTGCATAAAAAAGAGCACTGATGCAATGAGTGTGATGCAGCTTCTCAATGTCGCTCAATGTCTCTCGACATGGCAACGTCACGATGCTAATGGTAAACGTGCTAATGGTAAACGTGCTAATGGTAAACGTGCTAACGGTGATACCTGAGGGAGACGGACTGATTATTTATTGTTGCTTTCCCAGTGCTCCCTCCCTAGTTACAATAATACCCGTAATAATAAACAAACATCACTATTTTCAACCCAAAAACTGACACGACTATAAAAGTTATAAAAATAAAAAAAGCTTTGGCTGAAAATAAATACCAACAACAGAGCACTTGTTTGAACGCTGCGTTCCAATCAATTCCCTTCAGTCACAACTTGAGAAAACAAGACCTTTTATTCTGCTGTAAACAGATTATGAGACCCCCCCCCCCCGTCTCTGCAGCCGACAGTGAAGACAAATCCAACTCAGCGACGGCGACATGCTGCTTTGGATAAGCCCAAAAGAAGAAAAAGGAATATAATGAATAAATCAAAACATGCTTCGGGAAAAGAAGCAGCTAGTTCGTAGATTTTAGAACCCAGACTGTTTTCAGGCCAAAATAAAATGCCCACAGATGTAAAAACCTCAGTTCAAACACCGTCAGATTTTAAGCTACAAGCAACACGCTGAACGCCAGAATGCCTCAATCATACAGCAAAACTCCTCCGGCTGCCTGTGTTCATACTCAAAGAATATTTTTTATTTCCATATATTTATCTCTCTTTTAGGGGGGGGGGGGTTCTCGTGCCAGATGTTGCAACCTAGCTGCAGTGTTATACTCCGAGAGAGCGCTGTGAGGTCCAACGGTCTGCCTGGATCAGGGGACGTTGAATGAAGGAGGTGTGTGTGGGGGGGGAATCACTACTACTGTCCATGTCTCAAGACCCCAAAATGAGACCTGGTCAGAAACACCTAAACCTAATTTGAACAGCGGCTCGTCCTCACCTTGTTGGGCAGGTCCAGGTTGGCCTTGGCGCTGCAGATCGCCATGACAACGGGGAGGTTTCCGTCCTTGCAGGCGATGTGCAGCGGCGTGTTGCCATGGCGATCCTGATGGTCCACGTGGCAGCGGTGTCTGAGGAGGCAGCGAACCACGTCGACTTGACACCTCCGGACGGCGAGGTGCAGCGCCGTGTGTCCGTCCTGCACGAGCACACACACACACACACACACACACACACACACACACACACACACACACACACACACACACACACACACACACACACACACACACACACACACACACACACACACACACACACACACACGCTTGTTTTCAACGTGTGTACAGACAAACTAATCCTCCTTTCTAATCAAAAACGGTCAGTCGCTGATAATCTGGAGCTTCTGATCACCTTGTCGGTGGCCTCGACGTCGGCCCCGTGCTCCACCAGGCACTCCACGATGTCCACGAAGCCCCGGGCGGACGCCGTCAGCAGCGCGCTCTCCCCCTCGCGGTTCTTGGCGTCCACGTGGCAGCCCGCCTGGCAGAGCGCTCGGGCCACCGGCGAATACCCGTGCCACGCGGCGCAGTGCAGCGGCGTCTCCTGCTCCTGGAGACGAGAGCGCAGCATGCAGAAGAATGTTTGGTCACACGAGTCAAAGACACATCGAACACTTGCTGCTGTGTGTCTGCGTGCACGTGTGCCGGCCGTGCGCTCACCCTGTCGGACAGGTCCGGGTTAGCTCGGATGCTGCACAGGTAGCTCACCACGTCCACGTTGCCGTAGCGGGCCGCCACGTGAAGCGCAGTCTCCCCGGACTGGAGGACACAAAGGAGAATCAACGTGAACGTAGTAATAATAATAATAATAATAATAATGATGCTTCGTTAGTCACCACCGTGGTGTGGACTCCTGAGTCTGATCGCCGTCACTGTGTGTTCATAACAAACAATTATCTTTTATTCATCGTACTTCTCTCCTCTGATTGAAAGGAAGCTCCAGGATGCTTTGAGTTTATACCGTTTAATTCTTTTTTCATGCCTTGATGGACATTTGAGACTTTCCAAAAGCCTCTTCAGCAGCATTTAATGTCCAACAGATATTATTAATTCAAATATATATTTCACCAATTTGATTTTGTCTGGTTTTCTCTAATTTTGCTATGAAGTATGAGTAAGAAGAGAGAGAGAGAGAGAAACACACAGAGTAAGAAGAGAGAGAGAGAGAGACACACAGTAAGAAGAGGGAGAGAGAGAGAGAGAGCTTTGTGGGTGCTGATGCAGGTTGTAGTTGTGTAGTTGTGCGCGAGGCCTCGGGGGAAAAAACAACAAACCTTTCCTTTAATCATAGGGATTACATAACAGCAGAGGCAATAGAAAAGAGTCACCTCGTTAAAATGGTCGTTCACAGCACTCGCACACGTTTGTGATTTTAAACTTATTGAGGCAATAAAGCGAGACGACACTTTGATGATCCTCGCAGAGAGAAGAAGAGCGCAGTAACGCTGACTGAAGAGATTCAGGAAAAAATGATTTGGGGATTTCATCCGCCTCTGATCGAGGCTCCATAAAACACACACACACACACACACACACACACACGCACGCACACACACACACAACCCCCGTTTTTCTCAGCAAGATCCGTTTCTATAGCAACAGCATATAAGCTGATAAAATCCCACAGTAACTGGTTTTTGCTCCCCAGGTGCTCACTGTGGAGAGCGTGTGAAGTGTGTGTAAAGTGTGTGTGAAGTGTGTGTGAAGTGTGTGCGAAGTGTGTGTGTGTGTGTGTGTGTGTGTGTGTGTGTGTCGGGTTTGAGTAATTGCTGACACGGAGGGCCGAGTCGTAGTGGGTGTGTGTGTGCTGTGAGTCACCTTATCTTGGACATCCAGAGGGCATTTCGTTTCATGGAGGAATTTCAGGGTCTCCACGTGGCTGTGTCTCGCTGCGTAGTAGATCGCGTTCGTTCCACTCTGAAGGTTCGAGGAGAGGAATAAGAATTCTAGGATTCATCCCTGACATTTACCAGACAGAAAATAATACAAATTTCCAGCTGTCCGGGAATGCGTCTGCAGCCAGACGACGCAAATGAATCCTTAACAAGACGCGTGCGACTACTGTGAGGACGGGTCATTATCCCAATTAAAGTTCAGAGCCGCACTACATTATGTTAGAGAGGAGTCAGCCCTTCATTTTGTCATTTCACAATGATGAACCACATGAAATGGGGCCCTGTGTACTCTGTAATGTTCACATTAACATGTATTTAGTGGAAGAACCTATCCACACACGTATAACACATGCTGCCCCTGCGGTCCCGCGTGCAGCAGAGTGCGATGAGCTGGTCAGAGCCGCTCTGATTGGACCGCGCGGACGAGGCCGTACCTTGTCGAGGGCCTGGATCTCGGCGCCTTTCCTCATCAGCACTTCGATGATCTGAATGTTGCCGCAGCCGGCCGCGATCAGGAGGGGAGGAGTCCCGTGCTGCAACATACGCACACATCGGAGTCTTTTAGTTGTCAGCGCCGCCCCCCCTGGCTCCCCCGATGGATTAGGGAATCTTTGAAGTGAAGCTGAATGCCTCAATCGGACACTTGGCGAATGTGGCAAAAGAGTGGATTCTCTTCTCTCGTTAAGGGATCAAATGTGGACTGAGACGGTATCACGGCCTCCACTGTTTGAGTGTCGGCATGGCGATGGAAACATGAGCGGTAAACACAGGAATGACCTTTTCTGAAAACGTTCTTCCTCATCCTCCTCTTCTACGCGGAGTTTAATGGCTTCTCTTCACTACAACAACCTCGTCGCTTTGCTGTACGTTTGAATAAAAACTCGAAATCTTTCTTTTAACATGACCTATTTTCAAAACAAATATTTTTTCCACTTTTTTTGTAATGAAGCTGATTTGTTGGGCAGGAATCTGCGTCTGTTTGGATGCTCGTACCCAACCGGCTCGTGATGAACCTCATTCTCCGGTACACTGATTCAACTTGAACGCTTCCTTTGAACATTGTGGAACTGGCCTAAGGAGGAAAAACTCTGATCCGGAGAAATGAAAGTACATCCTAAAATAAGATCTCGTGCTTCCCTTCAGTCCTACAGAGGTCGTCACATTTTCCTCAGGGGAGAACACGAGGAAAACCGTGCGGCTGCTTTCCAAAGAGCCCTTCAGACACGCAGCTGACCTGAAGTCTGTGTTTATAGCCCCTCCCCCCTGCAGATGGAGGTGTACTACGGTCCGTGTTCCCCGGGGGGGTTGTGGGGGGGGTCACCTTGTTGGGCTGGTTAACGTCGTAGCTGTTCAAGGAGCCGAGCAGGTGCTGCAGACCGGGCACGTTGTCGTCGTTTATGGCGTGGATGATGGCCTTCATCACGAAGGAGTCTTCCTCGTCCTAGGCGGGAGGGAAAAGATGGTTACTCTTCCGAGCGCTCGCAGGATGACGATCAGGCCCCGGGAAGGTTAATCACATGCTCCCTCTTTCATCTTTTCACACAAGCATGAAAACACACAGAAACAAAACAGGCTTTTCTTTTGCACCTGGTTCAAAATCGGTCTCTTTTTAGTATTTATTTTTTTGCAGGCTCGTCACATGTGACCTCTGATCTTTAGCCAGACGGCACAAAAATCAGCTACGACGCTCCGCTGCACAAAGAGACAAGGGAGAGAGAGGCAGGGAGGTGAGGAGGAGGAGGAGGAGGCAGGTCTGACGTGGCGTTTGTTCTGCCTACTGAAACCCTCCAGCTACATTCCTCCTCATGACCCCCCCAGCTGGGGGAGGCGCCGGAGAGCAACCTCAGAGGGGCTGCAAACCACACGGAGGTGTGCGAGCAGCAAAGCGCCTGCCGGCGATTCGGTTGTGGATTGTTCGATCTTCTCCGTGTAATTGAGGTCGGTGCCGTTTTGCAAAAAAAAAAAGGAGATAATTCGCTGTGACGTTTTCGGGACAATCTGAGGGAGGACGTAGCGGCAATGACAGAGATGCAGCATCCACTAATACGTTTTATCCATTTATTCTATCGCCAGGACTCATTACGAAATGATGATGAATTGATGTAATTTGTGCCAATTTAAAGTAAATCATTCAAATCAAAACCAAAACCAGAACTGCCCCTCCGAGTGGAGCCTTTAAGTCAAGCGCTTGACCGCCGGAGCCGCCGGCCGACAAAGAACAACACGGATCCATTAGACAGCTTCCACTGCTGCTCTGCTTGTGGACCACAGGGGGGCGCTTCGCCCTACCTGCCCCGCACACCTGTGACACGAGGAAGTCTGATGGGTAAACAGGCCGGCCGGCTCGGCGAATGAGCCGCTCACCCGCAGACGGACATCTTGCGCTTTACTCAGAACAAAACCGCGTGGCGTGCGCCACACGTCTCACATCGCTCACATTCCTATGAGCTCACGCTGGCTTTAAGGTTACACGCGCCCAAGAATCCCAACGATTCCAGCAGCGGCTGACCCGTGGCGCCGCTGGGAACACATCGATTTTCTCCAGATGTGTAGGACTAGCGGAGCTGTAACGGAGAGCTCGCGGTCCTGTGAGGGAAACGCACAAGCAGAAACTCATCAAGGCGCCGGTGTCCTGTTGATTAGGTTTGTGTTAAAGACATCAAAGATGAATGGCTCTCTTCTGGTGGACGTTTTTACTCGGGTGCATTCAGCGCCTTTGGAAAAGGGGGCGTTAACAGCCGAACACTCAATCAGCTTGAATGTAGATCTTTCCATCTTACCAGCGTGTCGTCGCTGCGCGCCACGCTGATGTTGCTCCTGGACAGGAAGGAGCGGGACAGGCGGTTGCACAGAGAGATGAGTCGGACGGATTGCTGGAAAAGAGAAGGAGAGTGGCGGCTGATGAGCGAGTTAATGTCGAGACGCGTTCGGGGGGGGGACCGTGAACGGAGCGGGCAGGTGGGGTCGCGGAGCAATTTTCCGCTCTATTTGAATCCAGCTCCGCATTCATTCTTTGACATGTCGGCGCGGCGGTGGGCTGAGCATCCTTTGCTCACGGCTGAACGTTGACCCGCTCATTCAAAATGCGAATGCAGATTTATTCAGAATTTTCCCTTCACCCCATCGTAGAAAAGTTCTTGTACCAAAATAAATATTTCTAATCAATCAATATTTGTTGTGGTTTAACTGTAGTTTGCACTCTTTTCACAACCATATTCATTTTAAAAAGTCAGTTTCATAAAAAGAGACCAACTTAACTAAATGAATCACTTAGTTTAAATTGAGGATTTTATTTTTCATTCTTCTTTCCAAACAGACATTTGAAGCATCATCTGAAAACCTTATTAGAAGCCTTCAGGATGTTGTTTTTCCCTAACTGTCTTCGGCAGAGAGCCGAGATAAAACGGGCGCCGGAGAAGCACCGGCGGGTCACGCACGGGGCGGGCGGGGAGAGGAGCGGCGAGGCAGCAACGGAAGCGAGACGCCATCCAAGTGAAGCCGAGCTACGGACTACGTTTCACTTTTAAGTCTAGAAACCACCGGTCACTTACTTTCCATTTTCTCCGAGCTGCGAACTTCTTGAACTTCTCCATGTTGACGGCTGACTCCTTCCTGCTCAGCGCTTGTTGAGTGTCCTTCGGCTGATCACACAAACGCGAGTAAAACGTAGCGTAGAAGATTCATTAGAAACAGTCGTTCGGTACAGAATCAAATCGGCCATTTCAAATATCAACGACTGGCACAAGAAGAGTCCGACCTTGATCCACGGGTGCTGGAGGCTGTCCTGAATCGTCATTCTCTTCCTGTGGACAGAACATCAAGACGGGGAAACGTTTAAAGAGCGTCTTTAGATACTTCAGTGTTATTGATTCAGGACTTCAGTGAGGTTTGAGCCGAGGTGACTTTTGACCAAACTGGTCAAACTGGGTTTAATTCTAAAGAGAATAAAATATCCATCCACAGGTGGCATTTGGCATACGATTTAAAATAAGTACAGCCTTAAATAAATATAAGGATTATAGAGTTTTACACTGGCTCTCCTCTGTAAATGGGTTTTTGTATTTATGGAAACCCACACATGGGCGAGGGCATATTTTTTCATCCCATATTTGTTGTTGTATCTGTTACCTAAAGAACTTTCCTCATTGTAAATAGTGCCATATATTGACTTTGTGACCTAAAACATTTAATTTCCTTTTCGAAACTCTCACACGCTTAAACAACACGTGAAATGAGGTACCGAAACAGCCTAAATAACTTCCACTTCCAGGTACGTTTATCCCAACCGACAGCACGTAGGTTAGAGAACGAACCCTTCATTTCATTCATTCGTCTCCGTCTCCTCCCTCATTACAACTGTTGTAAGCGAACAATTAAAGGACTGTTTAAAAGTTTAAGTTCGTTAATCCTGAGCCAATATAACATCGGGCAAACCGGCGTTGTCTGGTAACACGCACGCAACTGCTGTTGACGTGTGTTCAGTTCCACATCCCTGTTTCTAACTCAGGAAAGAGTCAAATTTAAAAAGAGAAAAAGAAGCAATGAGGCGGCCTTTTCTGGTTTCACTGCAGCCTCTCGGTTGTTGCTACAGCAACGCCGTGATGAGGGAGACGCTCTCAGGCACCACATCACAGAAATGAAACAAGTCCATGCGATATCTGCCAAATTATTGTGGAGTGAGTTTAGAGATCGGGATGAGACGGAACATTGCTTTAAATCTTATCTAGAAAAGAGCTGCGGTTTCTCACTTTAAGTTCTTAGACCCTCCACGTGGATTCTGAAGGATAAACTTCAGATAGTGACCTTTTCAGAACATAAGGAATAGATATCTACGCTAAAAACCTCTGATCTGGACCATCGGTTGGATAAAAAAGAACACGGGACTTTAAACTGTGGGAAACTTTGATCAAAAGGATGCGTTTTTCCTTCCTTAATGAACCTTTTTGTAAAACGTCTGTGAGCCTCGCCCCCCCCGTCTCAAAAACATACTTGGGGTCTTTGACAAGGAGCCTGGCGATGAAGTCTTTGGCCAACGCGCTGGTGCTGCTGAAGAACTCCTCGTCGAACGCGTAGTCCACGGCCGACACGTTGGCCAGAGTCTCCTGCTTGTTGTCCCCCAGGAAGGGGGACGCGCCGCTCAGACTGCGCACACGGGACAAAAGGGTTAGAGGTCAGGGGACAGAAAGACGGAAGAGACAAAACAGTCAAATGTCAAATGTTTGCAAAATGAGACTTAAAGACTGTATTTATCACATTATTTGATGGTTAAGGAAAAATCAGACTGGGGTTGAAAGAAGCGTTGGAATAATAAATAGTTACTAATCCCCGTGTTTAGTTTATACACGGGGATTAGTACTTTGGCCCCATTGACTACGATAACCGATCCAGGTATTTACGACACTATCGGCCCGATATCAGATGTCAGCATGCGGAGAAATTAGACGTCTGATTCAGCACAGTCACCTGACGGATTTCCTCCGGCAGACAAAAGAATCCGACAAAAGGAAACCGAGGTGTAATTTGTGACGACTTTGTGCAACTTTTATTACATTGTTGCAATCGAATCAGTCTGAAAAAAAATACTCCGATTAAGAAGTTGGAAACGCTCCCAAACCCGCGTGACGGTTTATTGAGCCGCCGCGTTGTTTTTCGACGAGCGGCACTGTGAGAGCACATCGCTGCTGCCGGGCTGTGACAACCGCCAGCGAACGATCCATTTTCCATCTCGCCAAGCGGAGCTGTGACGAACGCGTGGGTGGACAGCACGAACAAAGACTGGGCACGCGTGTGCGTGTGTGCAGCTTGTATGTGAGCATTTATGTTTACGCAACAAAGAGAAAATGATGCACAGTTTCCATCCATATTACGTTTTTTTGAATATGATGCGGTAATGTTTGCAGCTACTTGTTATGTAATAGAGCGCCGACACGCGCTGTGGGCTCTCGCCGTGTTTTGTGGGGGCGTCGTCGTGCACACGCTCTCGCACGCTCTCTGGTGTGTTTTTGGAGCTCTGCGTAGGCGTCCATCAGAGAGGACGGGTTCAGGGGGAGGAGGACGCCGCGGCGCCGGCAGCAGGCCCCCTGCGGGGATCAAACTGTGCGGACGCGTCCGCTGGGTCAATGAGCGCCGCTGGCTGCAGAGCGGGAAGTCGTTTTAAAGGGCGGGTTAACTGAAGTACAAGTAAAGGGTGGAACCTTTTAACATGATGATAGGATTTTTAAGGTGAAGTCATCGTTAAGTTTCAAATACAATGAAAATCCCATAATCAGGATGTTGTGACACATTCACATTTTTTACTCAAGGCGGCGTTTAATCAAAACGTTGAAGATCACAAGAGGAAGCGAGCGTCGAGTGTTGTGAAACTTCTTTCTCTGGCAGGAAGTGGAGGAACTTTCGGACGTGTTGACTTATAAAACATCATTGCGCATTTCATTTTTCTGTGATTATTGATGACAAAAGTTTAACAACCAGAGGAACAACGTAGCAGGAAATAGAAATACTGCAAAGCACAAGTATCTCTACGTTGTATAAGTATCTGTCGTACTTACAGGATGTAGGTTATCACACCGACGCTCCTGAGGGGGGCAAGGGGAGAGGAGGAGACGTTAGTTGTGCGTTTTGACAGGAAAACACACACATTTCACACATGGGCAGATGTTCTGAAGGAGCAGATGGAGTTTCTGTTTACTCACCACATGTCTGCCTCCAGGCCCAGAGGTTCATAGTTGACTACCTCTGGAGCTGTGAGGCAAACACACCAAAAAGAAGATTATTACTATTCAGGTCAGCGTGATAATAACACACACAAGTTTAAAGAGCCTTTTTTATTTTTAATCACATCTACTAAGCTGTGATTATTTCTATTTTCTCCCGGCAGATGACGCTTTCACATGTGTCAATACCGTAATTAAAGATGACTCGTTCGTTTCTAATTGAATTTAAACAGTTGTGATATGAAACAGAGAGGATGCAGCCCCTTTATCTGCACCTAATGAGTTAATATTAATAGATTTTGTCACTTCAGTTATTATCAATATCTCACTTCAGGGGATAATCATGCATCAACTACAGTTTCCATCATCTGGGGGCTCTAGGGGGGTGGACAGGTAATATGTTGCTATGGAGTCACATTTGAGCCAATTGACACTATTGAAAAAAGAAGATGGACGTACAGAATCACACGACTGGATTACTTTGATACTGAGGAAAACTTTAAAGGTGATCATTCTTGGGTAAGTTCTGGAGCATCTTCAGAAATGACCCACTAGGATTCATGGATATTTATTTGCAACGGAAATCGCTAACTATCGGGTCATCGGGTCACGCGCGCCGTGTTGCAACGTCAGCCGTCATTATTCTGGCCTTCTGCCATCTGGATTTGGAGCGTTTGACCGCTGGCGTCTGTGGGTCGGGAGGCGAATGGGAGTGTTGGCGGCCGCCCCGGGGAAACAAGCGTCAATTAGTGTGCGTTTGTGTTGGCAAGAAGGAGGTGTTCTGATAATCTCCAGTCCATCAGGTCTCTCTCCCTTTGGCACATTTGGCTTCTGCCGTCATTAAACTCAACCCGCCTGGATTAAAGCCAGGAGAACAGTGTGTGTGTGTGTGTGTGTGTAGTACGCAGAGTAATAACTCATCTGAGCAGAGTCCGATTCAAACCGTAAAATAAATGAACACACACACACACACACCCACACACACACACACACACACACACCAGTACTGACCTACAAATTCTGGAGTTCCGAATATGTTTTTAAAATCGTTGCCAAAGTCGATCTTGTGTGCCAGGCCGAAGTCGATGAGCTTGATGCGCGGATGAGGCACCGAGCGGTTCAGCAGCATGATGTTTTCCGGCTGCAAGGAAACAAAAAGAGAGACGGTTTAAAAAGAAGGGGGGAGGCCGGGGGGGGAGAACAGTTCTTTAGCATCATGAAAGATACACAGAGGAATTAATTAATGTCACCCTAAATGAGGGGTGTCAAGCTCATTTCAGGTTCTGGCCGGATACTGCCCACTTTGATGGAAAGCGGGCCAGACCCGAGTTTGACATATGTGCCCTAAATGAGGAAGGCAGGACACAAACTAAAGTGTAGGGGCAGGAAGGAGGCGCTGGGGTCATGGAAATCTCATGCAAAACAACGAGTAAAATAAGACCTCTGCAGGGAGTGAGAGAAAAGGAAACAAACAACAGGAGCCGACTATTTCCTGAGGACGGATGCGTCCTTCAGGAGGAAACCATTTCCCCCCCCCAAAAACCATCATCCCTCCAGCGCACACGCTGGGAACAGTCTTCTGTTCAGACCCTGAGACGCCTCATCATCATTCCTCCGTTCACACACTGATAACAGGGGCTGCTGACATCAGGACGAACATCCACGCGCTGCGATTGAACCACCGACCCTCCGCTGGAAGGACGACCCGCTGATCCGCAGCCGCCCTCACACACCAAAGAGGGCACAGAGGCAGCTTTCAACCATGACAACACAAGAAAGCCAGTCTGCCGGTGCTTTATTTGGAAGACGATGGCATCGATCACAAAATAAGTAAGGAAAACTACCACAACAATATAGAGCTGGAATTTCTAGCTCCTTTATTTCTGATCCATCAATCATTAAAATATAATTACTCTAAAATGGGTGATTAGCTTATTAAAATATTGAAATCATTCTCTTTCTCTCACACACACCTCAGGTAGAGTTCATGCAGTGTTGAAGTTGAAGTGCAGTATTCTAGAACCCACGCTGTAAAAGTGCCGTTATGCAACATGTTTGTCGAATTGAATCAAAGTGAAGCGACAATCAGGAGGAGGAGAAATGCATTTCAAGTTATAAATCATACAGGTTTCCTCCCTTTAGAAAAACACTGAAAGATTGATCCGTTTTTTCCCTCTGCACTCTGTCTTTTCTCTTCCCACCGTGAGTCACTCCGTGTTGATGTCACGCACACGCACACACACTCTGTACACTATGACCTTTATTCTTTTCCCATACACTCACTCCATAATCAAACGCAGAGAATCCTTAAACAAACCAAAACAGATCAGTCACGGTAATTTGCCTCTGAAAAGCACACGAGAAACGGATATAAAAGCAAAGGTCCAAATGAGGAGAGATAAAATAAACATATTTCACACGGTGCTGCAGATGCACTTCTCCAGTCAGCTGGCATTTGAGAGAATGGATGCAAACTACTTTATGACTATGAGTTTTTTCTGTTTCACCGTGACCTTTAACAAGCCGCGGTCCACAGAGATTTCATCTCAGCCATCAGAGGGTGGATCGCCTCGTCTATAAAATTGCCCAATTCTGTCTTTGTTCTCATTCTGATTTGCATTTGCTGAACTGACTAAAACAAAAGATCTCTGAAGGACAAACATGAGTTTATTGTCACAGCTCAGTCCTAAATATTAATATCCATAACTCATAATTCCCCCCCCGAAACCCAAAATAAACCATAACTCTGTTTCAGAGAAACCATCCAACACACAACTGTTGATGTTATAAGTAAGTAATGAATGAATCATTCAAAAGTTCTTATTTTAACATGAGACAGTCAGTCTGCCATCAAAGCCACATGGTCATAAAGCAGAGAAAGGCAGCAAATGAGAAGTTGTAAACAAGGAAAGGACAAAAAGAAAACATGATCGGATTATCCAAACCGGTCAAATGTAATATTCTCTCTCTTTTTGTTTTACAATGTGGAACACATCCGTAACCTGCTTAACGTCACTCTGCAGAGTAGAATGGGGTCAGGGCTCTGGTTTAACGCGTTTTCTGCATGTGCACGTGTGTCCGGGTCGGACTCCCTGTGGTACCTTAAGGTCAAAGTGGGCGATTTGTTTGGTGTGCAGGTAGAAGACTCCCTCCAGGATCTGCTTGAGGAACTGGGTGGCCTCCTCCTCGCTCAGGGACTCCTTCTCGGCCAGGAAGTCAAAGAGCTCGCCGCCGGCCACGCTGGACGGGGGAGAGACGGGGAGAGAATTAACGTGCGAGATCTCTCAGATCAGAGCCAGATACAAATCCCTGCTTATCGGAGCTGAGCTGATGTAATCCAAATCATCCCGCTGCGTTAGATCCACACACACAACCTTTAACCACCACTGTTCACATAAAAACTTTCTTAATCCCCCCTCCCCGTACTGTTCATTTGAGGAGCTGTAACTGGAGAAAGTCTGTATATTTTACTTTAACAAAATGACAGAAGCCTTTAGGTATATTTCTCATTTTGATATTCTCTCTCCTTTTCCCTTTCTAATACTTATTTTTGTCATTTTTGCAATGTTGAGCATTTAAACGGAAGCAAAAGTCTTATTCTCTCTCGTAAAATCCCCTTTATGACCCAGATAAGAGCGTGGGGGGGGGGGGGGGGGGGTCACGGCGCGATAACGTCAGCGAGCGCCTAAAGGCGGCCAGATAACGGCAGCGTCCACTCAGCCGAACAAACATGCGCTCCTCAAATGTATGCGCAGGAGCATAAAACTACACAAACACTACTCCACCCTTCGAGGGGCAGAACAGCGTTCTCCTGTTGGAATTTCGACCATGGCGTGCAACGCAATTGAAATGATTAACTTCTTTAACTACAACTACAACGTCTCGTCTACTTCGCAGGAGCTTTGGGTGCTGCAGCTGTAACCGCTGATCCCCTCTGCAGACTCTCAGTCCATGAGCACATTGTCTCAGGCACCAACCACAACACAAAGAACCAACTGAAATCAATGGATCATCTAGACACTTCTGCGCGAAGCTAACGGGAGTATCGGGAGTGTGGTCCTGCGATAATTTCCCCCTCTGGTGAGACGTTATTGGTGGCGCCGGTGATCGGCTCCCTCCCGCGTGTTGCGCTGGAGACTCATTACATCACGCCGAAGGAGCGGTTCTGTGCTCGTTGGTTCTTCCTCGCAATCCATTTCTCGCGTGATCCCCGCTCAGGAATGTTGCCCCGGCGACCGCAGCCCTTCACTCCGTTCCGCCTCCATGCACATTTGTTCTGAATTATGATCGTACGGTAAACGAGGAGGACGTAACCTGGTGAAACCGGTTCAACTGGAGCTTGCGCAAGGCTTCGCAGTAAAACCAGTCCACCTGGAATACTCGTCACCATCATGACAATTATTTTGAATTTGAAAAGACAACACACCAGTGTTTCTCAATTGCCAATTCAAACGCCTCACAGTTCTCTTACTTACTTAAAAACATGGTTGAACTGAATCACGGGGAGTGTAGAATTGTTTTTAAAACGACAATAGGAAGACAGACATAGAATACATGAATCATCCTGAAGCTTAATAACGAAAATAAATGTAATATCCTAAGAAAATCTTTTCATTTGGGTTGTGATGAATAAGGAAGCCACTCACAGCTCCAGGATCAGGATCACCTCCGCCTTGTTCTCAAACACCTCGAGGAGCGTGATGACGTTCGGGTGCTGGATCTCCTTCAGGATGTTCACCTCGCGCTCGATGTCGTCCCTCGTCACGCCTCGCCGACTCGACTTGCTGCGGCGCTTCTTGATGGATTTGGCGGCGTACTCGGCGCCCGTGCCCCTGTGCCGGCATCTTCTGACCACAGCAAACTGGCCGCTGGCGGAGGAGACGGACAGAGGTGGTCAAAGATATCGTCCGGCTTTGAAACAAACAATACGAGATGAAATGACCTGCCTATAAACACCTGTAGGGGTTGAGACGGCAGCATCTGTTTCCTGTCTATGCTAAGCTAAGCTAACTGGCTGCTTAGTTTATAGACTTTAAGTGTGAGAGCGGAATCGATATTCTCATCCAACTAAAAAGGCACAACTCCATCATAAACAAATGGGACCATAAGGGAATCTGGACTAATATTCATCTCATTTGACAATCAATAAACGAGGACAGCTGGCGATGCAAACAGCATTGGAGTGGAGTGAGCTAATCAATAGTGTCACATTCCCACGGCGTTCCCCACTGATCACGGATAAAGCAGCCGGCTTTGAGCCCCGTCCTCTTGGTAAACGTGGACGTCTGAGCCAAAAGGAGTGGGCGGGATAACAAGGCAATAAAGCTGTGTTTCAGAAACCGCTTTAACTAATATCTGGGAATCACAAATTCAAGTATTCAGATTGCAACCCGGGCGACATCAGGGCCACTCGTCAAAGTGTTCAATGCCACCTTTAAAAAATCCCCTGCAAAATGAGTTTAAGATGATAATCCACGTGGGTCACGATTTACAGGAGACCTGAGTATTTTTTTGTTTGAGACAGAAAAAATAAGATCCACCCGACCTCAGCGGTCCCTCGAGATCAGTTTGACAATCGCTTGTAAACGATACGCAGGCAGCAGCCTGAAGGGAACCACAGCTCAGCACAACATCAACACAGCTGGCAAACGTCCACGTGCTAATCCTGCACGTCAACCATCAGGAGAGAGGCTCTATGTCCACGTCTTCAGATATACAGCGTTTGCACCTCAACACCTCAAACTACCCGTTGGAAAGGTGTTTACAGATGAAGTCAAATCAAAATAATCAAGACAAGACCATTAAAGAAACAAGTCAAGAAATGATCAAATCTGTTACTTTCATTCTGACACAAGAAACTATTGGTTTACCTTTTAAAAGATGATTTGTTACATGGAAGAATTAACCCCAAAATCAACTGAAACGATTGTTTTCAGTCACTTTTAGAATCTAATAACGTGCTAATTGTTTTAGCTTGTTCAAATATCAACATTTCAGGTCATATGAGTCAGCATGAAATATGAAAATAACACCCAACCTTTGGGATTGAAAGACCTTTTCAGACCATATGTACTTTATGTCATTTGTGTGTCTCAATCACTGTCAGTCATCAGCCCAGCAGGAATATGTTCTATACTCTGCAGTGGCAGCAGAAATGGCTCCTTAAGTTAAGTGCACATACGGCCTTTATAGACCTCTACCGTCTTTGAAATCCACACACGGTGCAGCTGACCGAGCCTGCTGGTGAACGCTCGCCATCCGACCCGACAGCGACGACTCTCCACCAGAACACGGCCAGAATGAAAAAAAAAAAAACGCTCGGCGGGAGGCGAGGACACTTGGCCGAGGGCCGTTGACGCCTCCGCCGATTGTGCCTCCATGCAGGCCCTGGCAATCATTTAGCACTTAGCGTCCCCAACGGCCACAGAGGGAGGAGGAGCGCGAGGGAGTAGGGGGCGAGAGAAAAGCGAGGAAGAGCCACATTCTGTCGCTTCTTTTTATTCCCATGCAAGCCCAGATTTTCACACGGATTCACAGCTTCGTGGCTGAAGCGTCGCCTTTTCAAATGGCTGCGCCGTCATCCGACTCCCTCAGTGCTGCAGGGGGAGAGCGCACAGTTGTCAGGATGCCTCCTGACAACTCAGTAATTCAGCTATATGCTCCCTGCTCTAATCCTCCTCCAAATATTTGAAGAGTAAACACGGGACTCAGGCAACAACACCGCCAGCTGCAGAGGAGCTTTAAAGCAAAAAAAAAGAGGAAAAAGGCCTGGGGAGCATCAGCAAAACAATCTGAAACTGCTGTTTGGAATGGAAAATGTCTCTCTTTCACCTTCAGGTGGTTGGGAAAGTTCGCTGCTCACACTGCGGCTGCAATAATTAGTAGTTTTAAAAAGGATATAGCAAGAAATGGAATTTTAGAGCTTCTACAACGTGCAGCTTTCCATTGATTATTTAAGGCTTCATATATCTTTAGGTAGACAAGGACATATAGCTCAATGCCCAATGCAATATTTGCGGGATTGTCGTTAAGAGACACTTATTGCACCACCAGCTAAACTGATAATAGCACAACAATAAGTAATTACAAATGGATCTGAAGGCCTCATTGAAAAGCCTATCTACATTTCTACGTGACAAAATCTGAAGATTAGTGTGAATATTGCAGGAGAAAAATAAACTTTTTAAAGTTTTAAGGTGGGTATCGTCATCATATCATCATATCACATTATCAGATCGACCACATTGAACCGACATACTTTGAGGGGAAGTACTCGGATTCTGACGGTTGGAGACTTGTTTGCTGACAATCTGATGTCGCTTTGAGGAAGTAACTCATCCTGCGACTGAGCCAGAGACACAAAGCAGACACCGAAGAGGAAGCGAGAGCCGAGCGCTTTCTCATGCTAATGGAACTCCCACCCCCTTCAGTCTGGCTGCACCCTTTTGTGGTCTCCACCTGTCAGTCAGACCTCCATCGTCTAGACAGAAGGCATCAGGACCATCCTGATGTGATCTGTCTCCATTTAAAGCAGTGTTTCCCCTGCCATGATACCAGGGGGGACTCGGACAAACTACCCCCCCCCATAAGTTGTAAACCTAGGGGGCACACTAGTAAAGGAATGTTCTCACTGTGTGCAAGTAATACTATACAAGCAGACACGCAACTCTACAGTCTGTAGTCAAATGCCTGAGCACCTATCGGTGCACACCGAAGAATTAGCTAGAAATATGAAGCTGTGAAGGTCCAGTTTAGCCCAGACGGCAACCTAGCCGAGTGAAGCTAATGCGGAAATGTGTTAAACTTGCATTCTCTCTACTGAACAGCAGGGGGCGACTGCTCCGCTCATATTACATAGAGGTCTATGAGCCAATGATTCTACTTCGAACTTGATTCATCCCCTCAGTAAATATGCTAAACATGAGTTTATGGTCTCAATCTCTAGTTTGAAGTCATTTAGTGTGTAATCTAGTGATTGACAGGTCGCTGCCATTAGCAGAGTCGTGCGTCTCTACGTCTCTCCTTCACATTCCCAATATGGTAACGTTACCATGACGACGTCCACTGCTTATGTACAGTACGCAGTCCACGCAGCTACGTGATGATTAGCTGATAGCTAATGATCAAATGTTTGGCCCACTAGTTGTTTCCTCCTCATTCTCCGAACAGACGTCCAGATCGACTGAAAGCAAACTGTTCAACGGTTAAACGTGCGATTCCATGTAAAACTGGAAAAGTGGCACCGCCAGCAGCGAGGGACCTGAAAAACAAGAAAAAGCAGCTGAACGTCGCTCGGCCCACGGCTGAAAGTTCACGCACGGGAAGAGAGGAATCTGAGAAAGCCGGGGCGCCTTGGCCTGTGAAAGATCTGTTGCGGAAGATGAGGAAGGAGGACAGGAACGTCTTCCTGTTCTTCATTATGCACCGTCTGTGCACTTGTTGAAGACGTCCTCTGACGACTTTTAGTTTTTTCTTACAATGTAATGTATAACAATAGAGAACACATGAGCCACGAGGAACGGTCCTGAACGAGAGACAAAAGCAATGCTCTGTAAAAGGCCGTCGGACTCTTAAACCACTAAAACCAACAAGGGCCACGAAAAACAACAACGATTGGACACTTGAAGATTCTGTGTGATATTTTGGAAGGGCTCTTATGCTGCGGGACAACGAATACGTGGCAAGTGGAGCCCTGTGCATGCAAATTAAGGCCAAATTCACACAATACACTGAACTGCACAGTATCTGGATCAACAAGGAGTGTAGCGGTTTAGTTGCCTTTGTGACGGTTATGCTGAAGGCCCCGTTGGGTGTCTGGTTGAGCTGCAGTGACGCATGACAGTAACTCTAGAGGAGAAGGAAAGGGGGACGATAATGACTTCATCGTGTGGTCAGTTTTCTGATGTTGCAATGGCTTGACTGGGAGCTGAATAATTCACGTGTGATGAGGTTTTGACACCACGTAAAAAAGCACTATTGTTTATAATAGAGCTCAGGAAATGTCAATGCAAATAGAAAAGGCGTCAAAGTATGCATTTATGCATTTCGCTATGAACGGAGGATGAAGTGTAGTTGTGAATTAGTGGGTTTGTGTTCCAAGATACACGATGGAAAATAATGGATCCGCTGTGGCAGCCGCCACAGATCCATTTGACACAACAAAATATCAACAATATAGACTGTTAAGAAGTATTCCATGAAATAAAGTAAAAGCAAGATGACAAAGTTGTCAAAGTCCTTTGAGCAGGGAGACTTGCAAAACAAAGATTGGGACGGGACGCAGCCTGAAGGCATCAAACGCTGCAGCTCTTCTACGGTGCGTACGTGAAGAGAGGGGAACGTGAGGGAACCCTTTGAGAGCAACACCAGCTGCGCGCACACACACAAACAAACACACACAAGGGAGGAAAATACCAGCGGATCAACGGAGCGCTCTCCTTCCTCGGTGAGGTAGAGGAGGGAAACAGAAACCCACCCTCCTTTCCACCGGTGGAGTTCCTCTTTCTCTCTAGTCCCTCCCTTCAACGGGTATCGTCCGAGAGGCCTCGCGTTCATTGGTTACCTGCCGGCAGAGGCATGCTGGGAAATCCCTCTGGCTTGCGCCGATGCTGCCGATCAACTGCCCGAAGACGGAGGCACAAATAATGAGCAGGCGGAGGAGGGAACCACACTCCTACAACCCTCTGCAGCTAGTGTGCAGGATCAAATTGCTGCGTTCCCTTTGTAGTGATTCAAGCACGAACAAGGATTCCTACTTCTGGCCTACTTGTGTTCTGTGAAGCGGCTGCAGGGAGGGAGGGGGAGGAGAGGGGGAGGAGAGGGGAGGGGGTCGATTGGGAGCTGGTTAGGAAAGAGGAGGAGAGGTTTG